GGGGGTGTTTCAATAAGAAGCTGGAAGTACTTGTAGATAAGTAGCTGGAAATACATACGCTCACTGTCCCAGCCGCCTGTGTGGTCTGCGTCGTTTTCAACCGTCGGGCTGCGCTGAAGGACCATTCTGCGGCTTTTTCGCTCTTTGCTTGGTATTTTTGCAGGAGCGTGATGTTTTTGTAGGAGAGGGTTAGGCCGTAGGTTGAGAGGAGGGTGGTGGAGAGGAGGGAGAGGAGGGTCGTTGCCATTTTTTGGGGGTCTGGGGGGGTTAGGTAGGAGGGAATGAGTCTGGGTGTTGAAGTTTATCCTGTGTCGACGGATGTGGACGTGAGTGGGAAGGATATGCCATGCATTGCGATGGATGCAAAGAGTACGTCATTTGAGATCTACAGGGGTATCCTTGTATGTGATTGCCCGCTAGTTTGGGAGTGGTTTTGTGAGATTCTGACGCGTTCTATGTTCTCTCGGGATGGAGGACATCTGAGGCTTGCGGTTACGTCTTTACTTGACGATCCTTATAAGATGCTATACAAGCGGACCATATTACCCTAGGCATTTCATGGTTTGATTGATAGCAGTGCAGAGTGTCTCGGCCTGGAACCACAGGTAGGTGGTTCGCGTCAAGTGTTGCAGAAATTCAATGCTGTCGGTCTCCTACACAACTCACACTATTCGCTACTACGTTCATTCTGCCTTGCTTGGTGGACTCTGAGCGAGCAAAGACTGAACGGAAGCATACAATTCTATCGGTATTTTGTGGATTTCTAAATGGGTTTCATTTCTTCCTCAAGCTTCGAAATTGGCGATGAAAATCTGCCGTTGTTCCGTTTGTGGCTGGGGTGGATGTAGTAAGGTCGTTTTGGTCGTTTTGGTCGTTTTGATCGTTTTGGTCGTTTTATGAATCGACTACTTTGTGCTTCATACACGTAGAACACCAGCTGTACGGTCTTCTACAGATATTCAGCCTGGATTCAGTGTCATGCGTGTATCGAGAAGGTTCGCGTGACTTTTGACCGGGAAGAAATTTACTGTCATGACACCACCACCTCATCTTGTTGTCGAGCGTGTCCAGAACAAGGACCCTCAAGTTCTGACCTTCCAGATGCGGGTCGAGCACGCTTGTGCACAATTTCTTACCAGACATCAGGAGATGACATTCCGTCGTGATATTGTTTGGTGATTTAGATGAAGCTCGTCAAGAAATGCAGGTCTATGTGACAGCCCACGAACCATTCGACCTATGCGCACGTGTAGACTCCACACATCAAGAGTTTCAACAAAATTTAATAAACTGCGGCCGGCGAACATGTCACAGCAGACGTTGAAGTAACGCTCGCGCCAGGATCCACGCTTAGAAGCTTGACGGCTGACGGTCTTCCACCTGTCACGACACACGATGCCCCGCCGCGTGCCCCTCCCCACCTTCCTACATCAAGCATTCCACCGTCCACCTTCCCGTTTGCCAACCATAACACCGCGACTAAGCGCCCGCATCAACCGAAGCTTCTTCTGCTCTACATCAGTGCAGAGATTTGCTTCTGCGCATCGTCGCCTGGACAAATACACACCTGATCGCATACCTGACGCTGCTTGGCCTTATCTGTATAAACCTTTCGACAAGATGGCAAACCTCGACGAGTACTTTAAGCAGGTGGATGGCTTGCAGGATAAGTTCATCGATAGGCTGAAGGAGGCTGTGGCGATTCCGAGTATCAGCTCTGAGGATGGGAAGAGGCCGGATGTCATTAAGGTACGCTTCTCTTTCGGGTTTGTGTCTTTGAAGTAGTCGCTATGTTCGACCATTTGTGTCATGAGATATCAGATCTCCATGCACCCACCATCGGTGCTCAAGACACGTCTGATTAGTCTGCGAGCATTGCAAGTGACATCGACAAGTCGCGACTAGCTTCTACTTCAGCCGGGTATCACAACACTACAGAAGCTCGTGTCTAACGCCATGACTATAGATGGGTCACTGGCTCGCAGACCAGATCAAAGCGCTCGGTGGCACCGTCGAGCTTCGCGAACTCGGAAAGCAGCCTGATCGCCAGCACCTCGAGCTCCCCCCATGCCTTCTCGGACGCTACGGAGACGACCCCAAGAAGCCCAACGTTCTCATCTACGGCCACTACGACGTACAGCCTGCACAGAAGTCGGACGGCTGGGCGACAGATCCATTCACACTCACTATCGACGACAAGGGCCGCATGTACGGACGTGGTAGCACAGACGACAAGGGCCCGGTTCTTGGGTGGCTAAACGCCATCGAGGCGCACCAGAAGGCTGGTATTGAGCTCCCGGTCAACCTCATCATGTGCTTTGAGGGTATGGAGGAAAACGGATCAGAGGGACTGGACGACACAATTCGCGCCGAGGCAAAGAAGTTCTTCAAAGACACTGATGTTGTTTGCATCTCCGATAACTACTGGTTGGGCACAGAGAAGCCTTGCCTGACATACGGTGTCCGTGGCTGCAACTACTACCAAGTTGAGGTGTCTGGCCCTGGTCAGGATCTGCACTCTGGTGTCTACGGTGGCATGACCCACGAGCCCATGACCGACTTGGTCCGCATCATGAACTCATTCGTTGACCCTGACGGCAAGATCCTGATCAAGGGCATTGATGACATGGTCGCCCCGCTCACCGACGAGGAAGCAGCTCTGTACCCCCCAATCGCGTTCACGATGGACGACCTCAAGGAGTCGCTTGGTGGCGAGGTCTCGATCCACAGCACAAAAGAGGAGGCGCTCAAGCACAAGATGAGGTACCCCTCCCTCTCACTGCACGGCATCGAGGGCGCTTTCTACTCTGAAGGAGCCAAGACGGTCATCCCCGCAAAGGTCATCGGCAAGTTCTCCATCCGCACAGTACCCAACATGGAGATCGACCCTGTCACCGAGCTTGTTGAGAAGCACGTCAACGCCGAGTTCGCGAAGCTCAAGTCAAAGAACAAGATGAAGGTCAGCGCCGTTCACTGCGGAAAGTGGTGGGTCGAGGACCCGAACCACCCCAACTACACTGCGGCTGCGAAGGCCGTGGAGAAGGTCTTTGGCGTCAAGCCAGATATGACCAGGGAGGGTGGTAGCATCCCAGTTACACTGACCTTCCAGGAAGAGCTTAAGAAGAATGTGCTGTTGTTGCCGATGGGAAGCTCGACGGATGCCGCTCACTCGATCAACGAGAAGCTAGACAAGAGGAACTACATCGAGGGCACGAAGCTGCTGGGCGCATACCTGCATTATGTTGCCCAGGAGTTGAAGCGCGATTAGAGGTGATTTCCGGTGCTCTAAGCAACGGCATTGACGAATACTCAATTTCGACATGATCAGATAAGAATAGCATTGAATGAAATGAAACAAATAATTATCATGAAATCTGTAAATCTACACGGGGGTGAAATGGTCGCGTGCCGCATTGACCTATCACGGAGCATGGAAAAAATGGCGCCCCGACAGACGAAAGTTCGAAGAGCCCCATTGCCAGCCGTGACGCCCCATCCCACCCATCACGCGCCCAAAATGTCGACATGTAGAACGCTCCTCCGAACCAGCTGCGCGCAACGGCAACCCTCCCTCCTGCCCCTCCTCCAATCGCGGCACGAGTCGACTACACGGCGCCACAAGAAGCTGCTCGCCCTCCCCGAAGCGCCCTCATACACACCCGACCGAGCAGCCCCCACACTGATCTTCAACCCGCCCTCCTCCGCCCCAAACGTCTACCACACGCCGCTGAAGTTCCTGCCCAAGCACGACAAGCGCCGCCAACTCTACTCCGCCGCACAAATCTACTCCACCACCAGCGCGCACCGCCGCCAGACCTCCCCCGTCGCTAGCCCCGGCACCCCGCTCTCTGCCTCCTCGCTCCTCCCGCCCCGGCCCTCCGCCGCTTTACCAGCGCCCGTACGCACGCCGTATGACAAAACGTATAATGTTACCGAGGAGGATGTCCAGAAGATACGGCAGCTGAGGGCTGAGGACCCGATTAAGTGGACAAGGGTGAAGCTTGCGGAGAAGTTTGGGTGCAGTCAGTTCTTCGTGGGGATGGTGGCTAAGGCGGCGGAGAAGGCGGTTAAGGTGGAGGCGGAGCATGAGGCGATGCGGAGGAGGTGGGGTGATAGACGTAGGGAGGCGAGGGAGGACCGGCAGAGGAGGAAGGTGCTTTGGGGGAGGGATGCGTAGATGGGTTGTGGGGATGAGGGGTGTGGGAAGAGGTGGATGTAGAATTATGGAATGGGATCACGAGGGGATGGAGGGATGGCGAGGGAGCGGTGTTCCTCCGTGTGTACGAAAACTTTGAATGTGACATTGGTGTACGATAGCTGCACCTTTTTTATGCAAGATTGGGCGAGCATCTTTCTACGTGTTCTGGAGATTGTACGTCGTTGTATGCATACAGTCGGTTTCGCAATGAAATAAAAATGTACATCCTATATCGACCCACGCGTGTGTTCCACCTACACACGCCATGGATAGATAGATCCGGGTATATTCCCCTCCTCAAACACCAAAGACCCTATCCCTTGGAAACCCACCACCCCAATCCCAAAAACCACAACATCCTTGCCTCACGCTACCCCCTCTCAACCCGCACCCCACCCCCCACCAAAAACACAAACCCCTCCCCCTCCCGCCCAACCCTCCAGCACGAAAACCGCCCCCGCCTCACAACCTCCCAGCGCTGCTGCCGCTCCGCCTCCGCCCCCTCGACACTAATCCCCGGCGCAAACTTCAGCACATCAACGCGACGGACACCGAGTTTCGTCGTCAGCACACCCTGGGGCCACGCAGTAGGAATCGCAGGCCGGAGCGCAGACGCAGACGTAGAGTGCGAAGCGAGGATCGTAGCGCAAGCGAACTGCGAGGCGAGGGAAGTGAGGCGGGAAGTTAATGCTGCGGAGGCTGCGGCGAGAGCGTTGGGTGTGTGTGTGTGTTCGTTGCGCGTGGGCCAGAGGAAGGCGTCGATGTCGTCGAGGATGAGGGTGTGGATGCTTCGGTGTGTACTTTTGTGGTTTGTTGCGTCGAAGAGGTAGGTTGGGAGGGTGTCGAGGGCTGAGAGGAGGGAGGGCCAGGAGGTGGGGCGGAGGATGTGTAGGTGTGATAGGGATGTTTGTACGATGCTTTTTAGGTGCGCTTTTTGGGGTGGGGTGAGTGGGGTGTTGGAGGAGTGGATTTGGCTGGTTAGGTGCGTGAGTAGTGTTTCTGCGAGCCGGGGGATGCTGAGGTGGTGGAGGGGGTCGAAGTAGATTACTGCGGCGTTTTTGCCGCCGGTGCTGATTGAGGGCGGGATGGAGGCGGGGAGTAGGGCGTGGGCGATGATTAGGTGGAGGAGGGAGGTTTTTCCTGAGCCGGAGGGGTGGTGGGTTGATGGTGGTGAGATGAGCTCGAGGGTTGGAGGCGAGGAGGTGGGGAGAAGGGCATCGAGTTCGGGGATGTTGAAGAACGTGCCATTTCCTGGAGGCTGATTGATGTTGCTGTGTAATTGTCAGTTATGAATAATTGGGGTTGTGGCTGAATTGTCCAGACAGAAAATATGATGACCAGACAGAAACAGAAGTAAAGAAACAGACAAACAAACCTCGTCCTCCCCCCAACTTCAAATTCTCCCAGCGATTTAAGAACCTAAATACCAATTAAATCTCATTCGTTGCTGATCTCAAGATTTTATACACGCACCGAGCTCAACCCCTCAACGTGGACCTCAACCAACAGCCTCTCTCCCAGCTTCTTCGCTCCCACATCAACACCACTCCCACTCGCACTCGCACTCATCCTAAATCTCTCCTCCTCTTTCTCTTTCCATCCACCAATTCCTCGATCCTACTCTCAACGCCTTCTACAGCGTCACTGCAATGCCCCCACCAACCCCCATCCACGCCCTCTCCACCCTCGAGGCGCAAATCAACGTCCTGCCGTCGGGAAAACCGCGCCGCCCGCCAATCAAACTAGGAGACTGCGCGCTCAAGGAGCTCGTGCAGTATAAATGCAATATCGTCGAGCCGGAGGTTCGAGGTGAGAAAGTAGCTGAGAAGGGGAAGGGCGTTGTTGTTTGTGAGCCGGTTGTGCGGTTGTTGAGACAGTTAGTATTACCGGTCGAGGTGACGGGTCTTGGCGTTGGTGATGAATGTGAGTGGGGCTGACATCTACAGATGTGCGGGGGGCGTGAGTGTGGAGACGACGGCATGGGAGGGGCGGAGGGAGAAGGCGAAGATGGAGGGGTGAGGTGCTGGGTGAGTGTATGATATGAGGTCACGGTTTGGGGAGAAAGCAGCATCAACAATAACACCACGGAGATAAAGTCACAGCAGGGAAAGAATAACACCACTTGTTTCGGCAATGCAACTGGATTAAAATGTCAAACGGGCCCAGTCGCCGGCCCTGTCTGTCTCGTCGGACAGCTATGATACGACTTGTACACGCAAATTTATGAACGCCGCCCAAATGCCCAAGTGTCCTGCCCAGGGGACAAGTATGCATGTACCCAAAACGCCGCGCTGTAATGATGCTTCGCATAAAGAGAGAAAAAACTTGTGTATGACGGCTGTGTAAATTTTAAGCACCGCGCGCAGACTTCTTCCAAAACCGCTGCTCGTAATTGACATGAACGCCCTCTTCCAGATTGACAATACGGTCCATAGTGGGCTGCCGTAACCGCGACTCCATAGACGTATTCCAGTCATCGTCGTCGTCTTCTGCTTCTCGGGCGCGTCGTCGCTCCTCGTCTTTCTCGCGCTCTTTCTCGTCTTGCAGGAGATCTGTCATGGCTTCCTGCCAGAGCTTGTCGCTCTCTTTCATGCGCTTGCTCCGCTTCCGCTTCCCGACGCTCTGCTTCTGTATGCCTGCCTTTTGTGCCGCCATGAGCTTGCGCAGACTCTGCTCTGCCAGGATACCCTCTTCTGTCGCCTTTTCTCGGATCTTGCGCGGGTCATTTTCGCGAGTGGTGAAGACGGGTGTTGCTTTGTAGGTATGTTTTGATGGAAATGGTGGGAAATGCTTTGGTATGTATGGGCGCGTTTCTTTGTCTGCTTTGCCGGACAGCTCGGGGCCGAGGAGGGCGTCGGTGTCGGGCGGTGGCGCTTCTGGCGGAGCTGGGGGCTCAAAATGTGGTTGTAATAATGATGGCGGTATCTCACCCGTGTCGAAATGTGGTTCGAGGGAGCCTGAACCACGGAGGCCGACGTTGGTGAGGGCGAAGATCCAGTCGTAGGGGACGGTTTCTGTGCGTCGGGCGCTGGTCATGGACATGCGCACCTGTGCCAGGAACTTTGTCATGTCTGCGCCCTGTCAGTATCGTGTTTTTGATCCCAAGTCCGTGTCGCGCTCATCGCAAGAAAAGTGAAGCCATACAGGAATCAACCAATGCCCGAAAGTCCTCCAGGGCGTCTGGCCGCGCGCCTTCAAAGCCTACGCTCCTGCATTGTATCGCTATGGCGCGGCGCAATTGCGAGTCGAAGAAGTCCTTTGCGTCGCCGAGGCCATCTTCGGCGCTGATGGGGTCGATGATGTGCTGGACGGGCTGCGTGTGGTGGAGCTTGTGCAGGACCTTGCGCTTCTTTGCGTGCGGCTCTCCGTATGTCGGTACTGTTTCGGCAGCGTGCGCTCTCTTCATGCCTGCGATTGCGCCCACACTGCTGGCGCTGAGAGGGGAGATGACGCCTGGCATAAGCTCCATGCAGTCGCGACTCGGCTGCGGGGGTGGTCGACGTCGTGGTGTGGTGCGGTGAGGGTGCACGCGATGGGTTGTTCAAGTCGACAGGTGAGAGGGTTGGAAAGCAGCGGCAGCGACTGGCAAATTCTGTCCTGGAGCGCGACGCGACGCGACTCAACGCTCGATGGTATTGTTTCGTGTTGTCTCGTGTTGACCCGTATTGTCCAGACTCTCTTTCACCTCGATGCACCTGTTCGTCAAGTCGAAAGCTGCGCGATGGTTGATGCCAAGAAACAGTCACGCTAAGAGTCACACCACTAGGAAGGCACGAACATCAACTCACCAACCTCAGTCCAACGTCACACGCCCTTCACCAGCTCCCGCAAGCCGCACCCGCGCCCCGAAACTCTCCGCTCTTCACGAACCGACTCCAAAATGGCCGTCAAACCGATTTCCGGCGTATGTGCTGCCATTGCGTGCCTCGGGCAGTCGTGGACAGCCGGTTAATGACTGGATCGTAGATGCTCCGCCGAACCATCGTGCTCGATCTCTCCGTCGCCATGGGTGCGTGAACATGCGAACTTCTTCGCGCGGCGTTACGAAGCATTGGATCTTTAAAAATGCTCTGCAGCTCGCGCGCGGGTCCCATGAAGAGCTCCGCTAATCACCCCTCACAGGTCTTGGTCTAGCCACCGGATACGGCTGGTGGTACGGTACGTGAACGACATATCTACGATGCGATTACAGTCGCGTGAAGTTCCCCTTCTCCAACTTCATGCTCATGTTTTCAAGGTTACCATGTCCCCGCCGTTCGTCACCGTGACGCTTTCTACCAGAAGCTCGAGGACGACCGTGCCGCTGCTCTCGGCCAGAAATAAACAACGATACCTCGCAAAGCAATGTTTCCTTTGTTTCCAGAAGGCATGAGAGTATAGATTTGGCCCGGGCTGGGGATCAAGTGTATCATAGTGGGGCGGATCCTTCGACAGCAAGTCACATCAAAGTCAGCCAAGTTCGGATTGCCTCGTCCTATGCTCACGGTGCTATTGCAAAGCATTTCCTACATTTCGTGCAATTTCTTCTCAGCTTCCTCACTTCAATACCCTTATCCTGCTTCAAAACACCCATAATTCTCCCCACCCTCTTCGCCAATTTCTTCCCCATATAACGCAATCCAACAGTCTCTTTGATCTGGTAGTGGTGTTCTTTTCCTTACTCCCTCCCCTGCAAGCAGTGTCATCTTCCATCACTCATATGAAGTCGATTTCGCCTGTGACTATTGAGGAATATCGCTTATTGAGACAAAGCCAACCTACAAGAGCAACCAATCTCATTCCCTTCTATTCATAACACTTTCCAGAAGTGTCACCACTCTAATTTCTAGATTGCGTACTTTGTAACAGAATCCTCAGTCTGTGTACTAGTGCTTCGCATTCATAGTGCTTTGTTCCCCTTCCCACTAGCTCCTGTATTTCCAGCATGTAGACCAAGTAGCGCGACATACCTACATTCTCAAGCGCATCGGCAGATTTTCCGCTTAGCAGTTCTCTACGGGCATAAGCACCAACTGACAGGGCCGTACTGACGGCGTATTATTTTGGTTTTTCAGCGTACTCAAGCTTGTTGCACAAGCAGATAGACGCATCACAGTAAGACTCTAATATAGCAACTTAGTGAAGAAGCTAATACCCGGCCCCTTTATACACAGCAAAAATCAGTAAGAGTACACAACAACAGTAACAAAAAAAACAGATTAACTGTCTCTTGGCGACGTTCTGCTCAATGTACCAGTGCAGACGCGAATTCGAGAGCCCAGGCAGCCGTTGGTTGAAGTTTGGTTCGGTCGTGAACCCTGGATTGTATCGTGAACCCTGGGTTGTATCGTGAACCCTGGCTGAGTCGTGAAAAGTCTTCAATCGACCAGTAAAATCCTGAACATGTAATCAGGGAAGGCTGAGGAGAGGGTGCAGGCAACGGTACTGCCCGGCGTATGACAGATGGAATATATCAAAGCAGGTGGAAAATTAAGACGTGCGAGAAGGGTTCAACGAGATGCGGGAGAGGCGCGCGAGATTATAGGATATGTGTTTCTGTGTGAAGATAGTGTGGATTTGTACTTTAGACGAGGGCTTTGAAGCGGTTGAGCTGATCTACTTCTTGTATGATCGTGAGTTCCGATGAACACAAAGTTATCCTATTTCCTCTCACCTGCACAAAAAGCCGTCATTTGCGTTGCGCACGACTCTACAAAAACGCTATTTGGCTTACGAACAAATTACACGCAATAACGTTAACACACCAAAACGCGCTCCAAAGCCTGCTCAGAAAATAACACCGACGGCAAGACGATGACGTTAAGAATCGCTAGACAGCAAGGACGGGAGGGTGCGGTACGGGTAGGAAGTTTCACCACCAGCGATTGCAGCGCTAGGTAGTTCTAAGGGAAAGCCAAGACTGGAGAGTTTCGGTGCACGCTCCGCGTTGCTTTGTGAGTGTCTTGTCGAGGTTGAGGGTTTGGAGGGGATGCGCTTGTTTGTTGTGCTGGATCAGTGCTGGGATTGTTCGGGGTGGGCCATGTGCAATGTAGGTAGCTAATTACTCACCTACTCGCCGTTGGGACCGTGGGTATATTGCAGGACTGCATCTGTCGCTGATTGCGACAAACCCTAATATAGTATGTTGCGATATAATATGGCATATTGCGATAGTCATAATATTTCATCGTGCAAAATATTTGTCTGCATTCAACGTGCGCGCTGAAAAGAGCTCGATTTGTAGCGTGCTGAGGCACAGCAGAGGCCGATGATGCAGGAACAGAATATGGCGATCATGCTCATCATACCGGTGGCGGCAGGGGTATTTAGTCGCCGAGCAGGATCGACGCAGAAAGCAACTTTCCAGTACGAGGGCCTTCTTCGGATCCCTTGCGTTTTGCACATTGGAGATACGAGGGGAGGTGGACGACTAGGTAGATAGACATGGTGGAGGCGGCGGGCTGAGCGGGTTGCGCTGGTTCGACGGACGCTAGGGAAGGTGGCTTTTTTAGCCAGATGCTCTAGGCCTAACGGTTCGGTGGTGATCGTTTTGAGATGACATCGGAGAGGAACACCTCACCATTTAGAATCGCTGGCGCTGGAAGTTTTTCAACACTTTTCAAGGCTCAAGCGCACGGTTTGAAGGAGGCATTACTTTCGTAATTACACGAGCACGCAATCATCTTGGGGTCTGTGTCTTATCGCAGGAAAGTCGACAATGGGTCCGAAGTAGCCGTTGCCAGGTAAAGAGGTACACGATTAGGCGCCACGCGACTAGCAGCCAAAAGAAACAGCATCCCCCCTCTCCTTTTCTCTTGGCTTTTGAATCTAAGTGGTATGCTGGACTTGCAAGGCGATACCGTCCTGGCCTCCATCACCAGACGGGTGCAGGTGCCAGCAAATTAGGTTAGCGTGAATGGCGCTTGTTTTGTGGTGTGGACTGCTTTTTTATGGCGTTGCTGGTATTCGTCGAGGCGTTTGCGAGCATGATGTGAAACTGCTGGGGCCCCGACAAAGAGAAGAAGACTGCACGAAATGCGTGACGATGTTGAGGAGGCTCTGATCATTTCCTGCAGCAGACTGCCGAATGCAAGAATACTAGGCATCATGTGGAGTCTAGCCGTCCAGCAGAGGGCACGAGTTATGTGTGTTCCGCAGGAGGGCCATGCAGCTTAGATTTGGCGGGGCGCTAACAATTGAGAATATCGGCCATCCAGCCAACCCATGTGTGCCATGTTTTGCCCTATACACCCCCCAAAAATTCTCTCTCGCCAGAATACTCTCTCTATCTCTCCAGTGCGAGACGCAGCAGCGAGTGAGTTCCTTCTGATTCTTTTCCTCGTCGACAGTGAGCAGCTCGTGAGCGAGTTGCTGCGGACACTCAGCATCGTCCAAGAAGAGGCTAAAAGGGCAGGGCCGCTATATCCCTGTCAAGCGCCTGCCTGAGTCGACCACGACTCGGATCGCGTCTCGCATCTCTCATCGTCGCTGCTCTCCACACCTCTCCGTTGTACGTTTCCCTCCTCGACTTCTCGACCGCTTGACGCTCTGGACGACCAGCAGCACCCCTTCGCGGGAGCCATACGCAGCTGAAAAGCCTGCGTTCAGCCCTCATTTCCAGGAGCACGCTATTGTTAACCCGCCCTGTCCGCCGCCGCCGCAGATCACGCAGCAAGCGATCTATAGTCGTCTGCCCTGCAGCTCGTACTTTCGCCCGCTGTCTGTTGACGCAACTGCTTCACGCATCCCTTACGACCTCGCATGCTGGCTGCACTCTAACCACCACCTCCTCTCCAAAGCAGCCGCTCTTCGTGGTCCACAGTCGACACAAACTGCCATCCCGTGCCTCGACCTCGCCTGGAACGCGCATCTTAGCACGAGGCAGCCCACGCAAGACAACCCTGGACGCCACATCCTCACCCCGGCGACAGCTCAACCCACTAACCCTCGCATGAGTGTGGCCTCTCGCTCACACTCGCGGCACTCCACCGCATCCTCCACCGTCGTCACCTTTGGCGCTGCCCAACCTAGGTGACTTTGCTTCACCACCCACGACTCATGATGAACAACCCAAACATGCAGCAACAGAATGGCATGGCCGCCGCCCGTACCAGCGCTGGGATCCATCTCTTTGTTGCGCATTATCGCAACAATCTCCAGCAGCAGAAGCTGACACATGGATGGCAACAGTCTACGTCTCCCGAAGAGCGTGGTAATCTTGCTCTCCAGTTCTTCACACAGTATCGTCTTCTCAAGCCCGACGGTCCCGAAGTCGACGCTATGCGTTTTTCCATTACGTTCGAGTCACAGCAATTCATCAACGCCCAGACCAAGGACCAGTATCACATGAACATCAAGCAAAAACTCATGCAAATGACGACCGCACGCCAACAACGCATGCAAGGTCTGGGCAATCCCAACAACCACATGAATGCGATGAATCCCGCTCAGATGAACATCATGGGCCAGAATGGTCCGCAGGGCGTCAGGCAAGGCGCGCCGCAGCAGTTTCCTCCTGGCTTTCCGAATCCTCAACTCCAGCGACCAATGCAAATCTCACCTGTTCCCATGTCACAGGGACAGTCTTCCATGGGCGTGAATGGTGCAAACCCTGGCGGCTTGGCTCCAGGACAGGCTGGCCAACAGCAAAACATGCAACAAGCCCGCACTCAGGAGGAACAGGCCATTATCAATGCCTTTGCCAAAAGGTTGATGGAAAGCTGTAAAGAGGAAGTACGCCAGCGGTTCCAGCAAGATGTTCAGGGATGGCCCGAGGAGAAGAAGCAGGAGTTGCTCAGCCAAAACATAAACCCCCTATTCCAACGCTTCCGACAGCATGCCGAGATGATGTACAGAAGCGGTAGGCTCAACACTTCACAAGCTCGAGGCGCTGCCCAGAATGTAGGCCAAATGCAGCAGACAGGCCAGCCAAATCAGATGCAGAACCAGCAGATGAATATGGGCCAGCGCCAGCCCAACCAAAATTTCGATTTCGATGCTTTGACAACTCAGCAAATCGAGGCTATGCGGGTTCAGGATCAAGGCCAGACCGTCGTACCTGCCAGTAACAATGCCAATGGTGCTCAATTGATCGGGTTCCCCGGACAAAACGCGCAACCAGGTCAACCACAAAACGCTGCCATGGTTCAGCGTCAAGCCGCTCAAGCATTCCAGAACAACTTGCAGCGCCAGCATGCTCAGGTACAACAAGCTCAGCGTGCACACCTCGAGCGACAGCAACAGCAACAGGCGGCGCAGGCACGGAATCAGACCCAGTTGCTTCAGGGACAGATTGGTGGCTTGAATCTGCCACCTGGCCAGCAACAGAGTCCTGCAATGCCTATGCTCACACGGCCGATGGCTCCCCCTGGCCAAGCAGGACCTCCTAGTACTCCCCAGCAACCCCCTCAGGCCCACGTTCCTAGGATGACTCCCCAACCAGGCCAAGCTGACCCCCAGTTAATGACTGCCTTGATGCGCGAGGCCCATCAACGAGCTGCCGCTGTGTCGCAGTCGAACCAGCCATTGACTGAACAAGTGCGCATGAGGATGATGCCCGCAGACTGGGAACCAACATTCAAGGAACAGTTGCTCAAGGTTCCCGAGAGTCAGTTTCGTACGGTGTTGCAAGGTTACGTGAATAACCTTCGACAAAGCAATGCACTTCAGAACGGAAGTTTTCCAGGGGGTCAGGCTATCCCAGGGCAGCCAAACATGCCTTTCAATCCACAACAGGTACTACAGCCTGGCATGCCTGGCCAAATGCTGGCCAACCCAAACCTCGCAAACATGGCTCGTCCCGGCATGAACATTGGGCAGCAGATGCCAGGAGATATGGGCGGACAGCAACTCCCAGCAGCTCAACGCACACCAATGCTTCCTCAACAGCGGTTCGCTCAAGCAACACTAATGCTCCGACAAAACCCTGGGATCATTAGCCAAACAGATCCCAGGCCCTTCCCTCAAGGCATCCTCGGCCCTCAGATAAGACAAAATATGCCCCCAGATGTGAAGACGTGGTTTCAACTCAAACAATGGGCGACACAGAATCCAGCTCTAATGGGCAATGTTGAACCAAACAGGCTACTCTTGATGCAGGTCTTGCACTTCCAAGATTCGTTGAGACAGCAGCAAGGTGGCATGCCTGTTGGCCAGCCTTCGCAGCAAAACAACATTGCGGGTATTGCTCCTCCCGCACCCATGGCGCCTAACATGGGCATGGCCAGGACACCACAGCAGCAAATCAACATGTCCAATTTGCCTCCTATTCAGGTCACACCACAAGAGCTGCAGATATTCCGACAGAGGTTACCGCCTCAACAAGCGAACATCACAGATGATCAGTTGCGGCAGTTTATCCTCCGAGAGAGAATGAAGGGAAGGATGCAGCAACAGCAACAGCAGCAGCAACAACAGCAGCAGCAGCAACAGCAGCATCAACAACAGCAACAGCAGCAACAACAACATCAACAACAGCAGCATCAACAGCAGCAGCAACAACAGCAACAGCAGCAGCAACAACAACTACTGCTTGCTCAACAAGCTCAGCAGCGTGGACAACTGTCACAGCAACAACAGCAGCAACAGCAGCAACACCAACAACCGTCGATGCAGGGCCAGCAACAACAACCCAACCGTGCACCTGCCGTTCAGGCACAAGTCACACAAGCCGCTCCTCAGCAGAAACCAGTTGTTAAAGCACAACAGCCTCAGCCGTCCGCCCAGCCCAGTGCTTCTAACAACACTGGAAGCAAGGGGGTGAAACGCCCCAACGATGATGCCGCTGAGTCCAACGCAGACAGCTCCAATGTAGCTACGCAAGCGCCTGCCATGATGCCTTCCAGGTCACAGCCAGGCCTAAACCTTACACAAGAGCAGATGTCCAAACTCCCCGTTGCTCAACAAGAGCAGATGAGGGCACAGGCAAGCGCAGCGAACAACAGAATGCAACAGAAACAGCGTTCTCAGTTCAGTCCAGAGATTCTCAGAGCACAGATCGAGGACCCGGTAAGGTCTAGCAAATACAATGCCACGGTCAACGAGGTAGAGAGAAGTATTCCTCTCGGACAGGCAGTGCCACTGGCGCCCCATATGCGAGCACAGATACAGACCGCAATCCAGCGAGAACTCTCGAACTTGAAGAAGGTTGATCATGCGCTTCGCATATTTGACGTTCAATACGACAATGCCAATTCCGAGGCCCTAGCACGGCAGATTATGAGAGCAAAATGTTATTTGTTTCGGCAGATTAACATGGCCGACGGCACGCTTCGGGATCCAGTCACGATAACTGCAGACGAGTTCCGAACGTATACAGGTACGATCATCAAGTTCGTTCGTAAGATCATGGCGACGATGCAGCCACAGCTCAACCCGAACGCCGGGGCTCAGCAATCCTCTCAGCAAGCGCAGACTTCATCGCCAGCTCAGTTGAATGCTGCCAACCTGAAGATTGTGGATCAACAACAACGACAGCAAAAGACTCCTCAGGCGCCCACAACTGATCGACCACCATATCCCCTTGGTGGACAATCCCCACGTGGGGCCCCGACTTATTTCGATGGAGCTCCGACCGTCACTAATCTTGTTTTGCCGGACAAGAAGCGGGCGAGAATGGATCCTAGTAGTCAGACTTCGACTCCAGCTGCGAAAGCATCCCCACGTATCGGCTCGGGCAAAGGCAACTCGCCAGAGCTCAAACGGCAGTCGATGCCCGAGAAGCAAGTCCCACAGAGGCCGATGTTTGTGTGCAACATTATCGACTGCGATGCTCCCCGAGGCTTTGATACACAGGCGGAACTAGAGGCGCATGTTAGCCAAGCTCATGCTAAGATCGAGAATCCTCTACAATTCGCGCTTGACTCTATGGCAGATTTCCTTGACGTGGACCAGAAGACTGGTGAGCCTAAGGTCGATCCGAACACTGCGAAGCGCAATCTGAAGCCAGCCTCTGCTGTTCCGCGTGCCGCTGTCCAACCCTTTAAGTCGGAGCATACCCCTGGTATCTTACAGAATGCGACGACCCCAGCTGGGGCTCAAACAGCCACGCCAATGGCGCGCGTACCGACACAGACGGGCATCAAGACTTCTCCGTCAACGAGCCTTCTCAAGACGCCACAGACTATGGCTAAGGTGGGTACACCTAGCACCGGAGTGCATGCAAAGGCTACGCCATCCGCTATGGTTAAACAGGCAGCCAAGGAACCCGCTGTACCTGAGCCTGAACAAGAACAACAGCAGCAACAGCAGCCGCTTATCCCAATGTCCCTCTTCGACTACTCGTACGAAGACACATTTGCGGCCCTTGACGCCAACGGCCCTTTCACCGTTATGGATCTCAAAGACGAAGACAATTCGTGGATGATGAACTCGCATCCTACCACGCCCGACTCGTCGCCCAAGGATACGCCATCTACCCGGCAGAGCGATGTTAGCGAGAACGACAACTTGCAGATCAATATCGATGTCGATATGCCAGATGCGTGGATATATGGTGATTCTTTCCAGCTGGGCAATGACCATCGACTACTGGGGACGATGTTGCCGCCGATGGACAGTGACGAGATGATGCTCTTTCCAGCGATGATGGAGTTTGATGATATGGAAAAGGGGATGACTGGCTTGGAAGCAGGAGCTATTGGTGTGATTTGATGATTTCAGAGGTGGGACATGTGCGTCTTTCTATTCGTCTTTTAGGGCGGTCTTCGGACTGATGTACGAGGTTCTGGTGTATGGGGGTTTGTCCTTTTTTTTGCGAGTCCTTGCTGCTTTTGCGCATACGGGTTTGTCGGATCTTTTTTGCATGGCGGTTTCTTTATACCTCGACCCTTTTTTTGCCTATGGATGGCTCTCATTTACTCTCAGGAGAGAGAGGGGGTCAAATTTGGCGCAATTGGTTTTAAGGATGGATCTTTTATCATGTTGTCAAAGCATATCGCGAAAACGGCGTTTGTTCATTTTTCCGTCTCATCCTACACGTTGTAGATATCTATACCCCCGGCCAGTTCTTCTCCTAGATAATCAGCTCGTCTTCGCCCCGATGAGCTTGAACGAAACAAAGAATGTAACGCATAATTCATACCCGTTTCCCATTCATTGATTCATCTATTCATTCTTTCAAAAACATCCGTCTAGACTCATACATGATGTCACGACAAATTGGACGCACAAAGCAGCTTTATACACACAGTACGACGTCGCATCTCCATCCTTTCTCCGAAAACAACCCCAACCCGTGGTTCTCCTCCCCCGCATTCCCAAACTCTCAATCACACACGCACGCATTCGCATTCACATCACTCACCCACTGCCATGCCACGCCCCATTCCAACCCCAAACTCACACGTACAGCCCCTTCCAGACCAGACCCAAACCCCCCAAAACAGTGGTACAATATCTAATCCTCTCGGCCCCATGCGACCGACCCACGTTTCCCTCCCATGGAACGCACCCCGTACCACGGGAGAGCCGGCGCGACTTCGTCGGGGCTAGCACGGCCGCGGCAAAGTGCAAGACAAGACAAGACACCAAGCTGTTTGTGTTTCAGTTTCGGGAGCCGGGCGCCGTGGAAGGGGGGGGGGGTGATTCGTGTAGGTGGGGGGGGAAGTGTGGTTTTTGCTTTTTTGCTTTTTGTTTGTATGTCAGTTTCACGCGGTGATTCTGGTAACGCTTTTTTCTTGTGCGTGGTGAGGGTTCAGCGTGGGTGCAACCTGGATGAGCGAGCGAGTGCTCACGCACTCATTCAGTCTATCGTTCGTCTTGCGTGCATGCGAGCGTACGTACGTACGTCGTTCGTACAAGTGACGTTGCGGGCGGGCAGAAACTCGGCAAAAAAGCGTGGCGCCGCTTAGCCTTCCTTTTTTTTCCTTCTGGAATCACCGCATGCATGCACACTCATGCAGGGTATTGTGTTCTAGTGGTGCGAAGCGAGCGAGCGATCGAAGCTGTGGTGAGAATGACTTGCGTTTTTGCTGTGCTGAAGGGGAGGGGGGGGGGGCATGTTCGGCGGGCTGGTGGCGAAAGAATGGGCTATTTCGGGGTCGGCGGGCTGCATATTATTACAGTAGGTAGGTGCATGCATGCTTGGGAGGGTTAGGTTACCGGTTTCTAGGCCTGCTGTGTTGCGGGTGAACGGCGGGTGGGTGGTGAGTTTGTGCGAGGTTTGGGCGACTACGGGGGGATTTGGAAGGGGTTGCTTTGTTTGGTGGGATGGGAGGAAGTTGAGGGAGCGGGAGCGGTGAAGTGCATCCTGGGAGGCGGTAGAGCGACTGGGCATGAAATGATGTGCGTGCAAGGAGTGGGATGCAGGGAGTGATCTGGGGTAGCGAGGTAGGTTTGTGGCATGGTGATCTGATCGGTGGGTTATGGTGGAATGTCAATGTCCTGTTTGGGTATCTGTAGGCGAGAAAAAAGAGAGGTGCAAGGCTCGTGATGTCATGGGGTTGACGATTGTCATACACCGAGAAAGCAAAGCCTGGACGGACGTCTATCCTCGCTTTTTCCTCTCCTCGTCGCCGCCGAACCCGATGCCACTCAGCATGCAAATCCTCGTCACCGCCAGGAAATAGACAACGCCTACATTCCCCCAGTCAATGGCGTTCCAGTGCCAGAATTGCCAGTACACCCACGTCCCCACCAGGCGCACCGAGTACAGGTGGCCCACGTCGGCTACCAGCAGGGCGATGATGAAAGTCTTCCACACTTTGACGTCGGAAGAAGCGCGCAGAATGGAAGCTTCCAAAATGGCAAGCCCCAGATAGAGATTTGCTAATTGGGTTAGGACAATGGAAGTCGAGATGGGTACCAAGATTGAGCTGGTCGGCGGTGCAGTAGCAGAGTGCGTCAAGGTTAGGTACGTGTGTTGCAGAAAGTGGGCGTAGACGGCGCCTGTTAGGATGGAGAGGGGCTCGAGCCAGAGGAATACGGCTCGGTAGAAGGGTGAGATTCGTGCAGTGGACATGGTAGTTTCGTGCGAGCCAGGTTGTGTCTCAATGGCGATTCAGCGGTGGGAGCGGTGTGGAGTGAGACGTGACCATGTGACGGTGGCTGGCTTGCCCGTCAACGTCGCTGCAAACACGAGGGTGCATCCAGCAGGACGGTTGAGGGTGAGGTTGGTGCTAATTGGAATCGTCGTCCAGCAAGGCCGTCCAGACTGGGCGTGGGCCCAGGGGTGTGGGGTTGCTCGGTGAACGGCCGGTCGGGTGAATCCATAATCCATGCATGGCCGCTTGGGTGGTGACACAAGTGATGGTTGCCCGCTAATGTCGCGCTGGCCGTGCGGCAGATTCAGCGTCGCCTCCAAGGCGCTGCATTGATAAAAACACAAGCCGTCTCAACTCCCTAATCCGTCATCCCATTCCCTTCCTTCGCCCTTTCGACCACCCAAAGGCCCTTCTCTCGCTCTTCCCACAGTTTGACGCTGTGCACATTCTCTTCACATCGCATTGCCGCTTGCTGCTTGCTGCATTCCTTGTTGCGTGACTGTTCTGCTCGTTGTTGTCTTTGCCAGCGGCCGACACTTTCATTGCATTGCATTGCACTGCATTCCCTCTTTCTGCCTGTCTGCCCATCACGCTCCATCTGATTCGATTCGATCTCAGTCGTCGCGTTCCCTGTTTCGTTTTCGCCTTCACGCCGACTTTTCTCGAGTGGCGTTTGCGTTTGTAGTTGCGACTTGGTCTTCACCCTCGACGCAAAGGTCAGCAGCACCAGCTCCCACCAACGCCTCCGATGCATCGCAGACCGTCCATCCTGTCGTACCGCCCGAAGACCTCTTCTGCTGCCGACGACGAGTCTGCCCAGGCGCCGTCCTTTGACCGCGCCATGAAGCGAACCGCCAGCCAGACCTTCAACACGCACTACCCGGACATGCGGGACGCCGGCGTGGCCCTGGATGCTGTCAACGAAGGCGCCATGGCTTTTGACAGCGCCAGCTCTCAGCATTCACACTCCAGCACCATTTCACGCGCGCTGGGCGCTGTCACGGGGCCTTTCACTCGCCAGAAAGCCCGCCGTCGCATGTCGTCCTTCTCCTCGGCCACTACTTCTGCTCCACGTCGTCGTGGCTCGGTGCAGTCGTACATTGAGTCGGCCACATCCCCGAGCTCAACCCACAAGGCCTGTTCCGATCCCCAGCGCGCACCCCTGCACCACCAGGACTCTGGCATCCCTTCCTTCGCACCGCAATCTCCGCAAAGCCCGGCGTCCAAGGCCTTTTCCTTCAAGCGACTCAGCACCGGCATGAGCAGGCGACGACCGACTGTGTTTGGCGCCCCTGGCGTTGTCGACAGGATCAGCTCCTCTCCGTTGCCTATCCCATCCGCGCCCGGAAGCGCTGCGAGACAAGCCGCTGCTGCCGCCAACCAGGATCGCCTGAACCAGCTGCGCCGCGAGCAGGAGCACACTCATCGCTTCCTCAATGGGCTCATCCCCACTAGTGTGTCGCGAGACGAGGAGATGAAGGACAACGAGAGCGGTGTCGACATGACATGCGCCTCGCCTATTGTTCGTGCCGATAGTGTTACCGAAAAGAAGAAAATGAGTAAGTACCACGTCATTGCATGCTCAACTCCTGCTAACATCACCCCAGTCGATCCCTTCCAACGCCTTCCCGCTGAACTCGCAACTGCCGTCCTGTCAAACCTCGACGCCACATCGTTGGTCGCTGCCGAGCGTGTGTCTCGCTCATGGAACGAGCATGCCACATCAATGCACGTCTGGCGCGACGTCTTCCTCCGCGAGTACGAGCCACCAGTCCATGTCACTCCGGCCCCAATACAGATGGGCGGGCTCGGCATTGGCCAGTCCAGCAATGGCAAGCCAATCCCCGCACAAGACTGGAAGGGAATGTTTGAGGCTAGGCGAACCATCAACCACCGATGGAAGACCGCCAAGCCTGCCGCCATCTACATGAACGGCCACACCGACAGCGTCTACTGCTGCCAGTTCGACGAGAAGAAGTGCATCACTGGCTCGCGCGACCGGACAATCCGCGTGTGGGACATGCAGACGAACAAGTGCCTCCGGGTCTACGGCGGCCCAAACCACCGCCCCAACCCAAACACTCCCCCTCCTATGGAGGAGCGGCCAGAGAAGGTCTTGAGCCATCCATCGCTGAACGGAACACGGGCTGGTAACGACATCTACCGTGTTCCTTCCGATTACCATGATGCATCCATTCTGTGCCTACAGTACGATGAAGAGATCATGGTCACGGGATCTTCCGACTACACCTGCATCGTCTGGGACATCACCGGTGAGGACTTCCGACCCATGTACCGCCTCCAGGGCCACGAGGCTGGCGTGCTCGACGTCTGCCTCGACAACAAGTACATCATCTCGTGCTCCAAAGACGCCATGATCAAGGTCTGGGACCGCAAGACGGGCGCCTGCATCCGTACGCTCAAGGGTCACCGCGGCCCCGTCAACGCTGTCCAGCTGCGCGGCAACTTCCTTGTCTCCGCTAGCGGTGACGGCTTGGCCAAGCTGTGGAATTTGCAGACGGGCACCGCGATCAAGGACTTTCCCTCGGAGGACCGCGGCCTCGCTGCCGTAGAGTTTTCCGACGACGCAAAGTACGTACTCGCGGGTGGCAACGACCATGTTGTGTACAAATTCGACGCCGCTACGGGTAGCCTTGTGCACAGCCGTGTCAAGCACGAGGGGCTCGTCAGGTCCCTCTTCTTGGATGCGTTCAATGGCCGCATCGTCTCCGGCAGCTACGACCAGAGCATCCACGTGTCCGACTACACCACTGGCGCAACCTTTGCGACGTACAAGAACTGGACCACAAGCTGGATTCTCTCCGCCAAGAGCGATTACCGTCGCGTGGTCGCCACTAGCCAAGACGGAAGGTGTCTAATCCTCGACTTCGGACACGGTGTCAAAGGCGCAGAGAAACTCATTGGAAACTGAATCCCACCCCCCCCGACTTCCGGCTCTCTTGACTCCCACACCTGACGTCTGAAATCGGGACGCGATCACGCAGCGCCCCGCCGTTCGCGCGCTCGCCATAGTTTCCGATGGTGCGCATGCAAAACTCCCCACGGGTTCTCTCAGCCTGTACGGCACTTGCCGAGGCCGATCTCCCCCACGTGTGTGGTGCTAGAACCGCGCGAACCGGTTTCAAGTCTAAATAGGGGGGCAGGCTATTTTTCGCCCCGTCGTTTGGCGATGGGCGATGTTGCATATTGGGCGTTTCGTCTCTGGTTTTAGTCATATTTTAGCGAAATCGTTTTCTTGTCGCCTGTGTGTGGGTTTTGCACATATCTTTTGGGTTTCGAAACAGGGGCATGGTTTTGGGGTACAATGGGATATAGACTTTCATTTTTTTTGTCCTCTTCTTTTGATTCTGATTCTTCTTCGTCCCCCGTCTCTTTCATTGTTGTATATATTTTTTGGTATTCGTTGGGATCGGGAATAAGGGATCAGAATCCGTATGTGGGGGTCTGTTGGGATGGCGAACCATGTGCGCATCTCACTCTCTTTAGTTGCATAGTATATGTAATACACATTTATGCATATCCGGCTTTTGTTGGTGAAATTTGTTTGTGCAAGGGTTGTGGAGGGTTTGTGCGAGGCGCGGATTGATCGATGTGGGTCTTGCTGATTAGACGATTTCGCGTGGTTTGACTACGGCTCCATGGTTGGATGTTTGAGTGCTTGCAATATCGACAGTTGACATTAGGGCGTCTCCAAACGTTCAGCTCGCAGACTAATATCGAGAAGTCTGCACACACACACACCATGGGAAACAAGGAGAGACGCGAATCTCTACCGCCATCGTCGCCATCCATCCAACCAGCTAGCAACCCCATCCCCCATCCAACACAGTAACAAACCCCCCTTTCTCAACCCACGAGACCTTTCCAACTACACCTTCAACGTAGAAACTCACGTATCCACCAACCCCCTTCTGGCGAGACAAACGCTCACACTCGAAGTCTTTCTAACAATATGATTTGTGTGTATATCCCCCACCTCTACTATATCAGCTTTCCCACCATCATCATAAACAATTGTGCATCGCCTGCCTCGTGAAATGATATCGTATGGTGCACATGCAGAGAGCTGTGCGTGGTGGTGGACTTCTGAGGGAATGGGCTCGGGTTCACTGTGTAGGTGACATTGTGTTTTGTATATGGGGTGTGGACGGCGGGTTTGTTCATGTTTTTTGGCTTCTTGTTTCTTGTTTCTTATCGCAGTATGGTTGTGGTTGGGCATTGTGCTTAAACTGTCCTGTACTTGTTCCCAGAGACTGCCGGTGAGAGAAAGTGCTGGTCACTGGGGAATGCTGTCTGGTTTGCGAGTCACTGGGTATATGGTGAGTATGGGTCCGGCGTTCATGTTGAGGGTGAGGCTGGGGACGTAGTATGACGGATTCACAGCGCGGTTGAATGTTGTGGAAAACGCCCCGAATTCTCGAGAAGAGTTGTTGGAGACGACAAAAAGGAAGCTGAAGGAAGACACTGCTTCTCAAATTGTGAACACGTGCGCGGGAGGCGTGAGATATCCTATCCCATGCTTTGTGAGCGAAGAAGATTCTATTTCTCCAGTCCAACAGTCGTTCGAAGATAGATGAGAGAGACAGAGTCCTAGAACAAGTCGTGAACCCTAACGACGATGTGGAGGTCATGCTTGTCAGTATCTGATGCGGTGGCTTTGGGTTCATTCTCGCCCTCACCCATGCAAAGAACGTGTTTATTGGGATATAACGCTGAATACTGTTCTACTTGTTCTTTACTGCATTTATATCATCCGATGTCTACTTGTGTACTTCGTGCGAGTACTCTTGTCTATCTTTGTGATGCAGTTTCAAGTATCAGTAGAGTTACACGTTTTATCAAACTCAACTACTCACCGTCACGACAAGCAACAAACCCCCAATCAGAGCAAAGAGTCGATTAATAAACGTATAACTCGCAGCTTACTCCCTCGAACGAAGCCATAACCATCTACATAATATATATCACCATACTTACAGCAACTTCACCCTATTAATTCTCATCAACCTCGCCCGTCCAAACCGCCGCAACAGATCTACATGTCCATCTTGCATTCTCTTCCACGCTTCCCTCTTCACCATCTCACCACCCGCATAGTCCCGCATCCCATCCCTCTCCTTGACCTTCGCGTCATGTCCAGGTACCACTTTCTCCTCCTCATACCGCGTAGGCGCGAGTATATGCACCTCTTGCCTTGCTTTCTCCACGTCGTGAGTGAATGTCATCCAAGGCACGCCCAAGACTGCTAAGCATGCGATGATTTTGGCGCGGGCGTTGAGGCGCTCTGTGCGCTCCCAGGTTGCGAGTGTGGTGGTGGGGGGCGGAGGGATGTCGTCGAGGGAGGGGGATGTGAGGCGTTGAGTGACTGCGCGGGAGACGAGGAGGCGGTATTGTGCGGTGGGGGAGGACATTGTGAGGTTTCGCGAGAGAGAGGGAGAGAAGAGAGGTGGTACTTTGGATAGATAGATCTAGATCAGTTTGTGCTACCAACAACACAGCTCTATATTCACACCTACTCACTGAAGTCATACAGTAACTTCACCTCCCTCCTTCCAAAACCCTGCACATCACCGTATACACCCTACCCTACAAACGCAGCCCATCGCCCAAAACAGCCCCATACCACACCATACCCACCAGCCCCACCAAATTCACCAAACTGCTCACACCATGCAGCACACCGAACTGCTTGTTAAGCGCCTGCATCTCCTTACTATGCGGCCCAGCATCATAGCTCTTCTTCCCATCCCTCGTCTCCTGATGTTTCCTCAGCCCCATGACCTGCGTCGTCTTCGGGCCGACGTAGACCCAGTTCAGCAGCCCGGTGATAGCCATGGTAGCGATGAGCCACGCGCTCAGTGAGTCTTTGCTGCTCGCTAGGACTGATGCGGACGGGGAGACAAGGGAGTTGAGTAGGGGGAGAGTTGAGAGTAGGCGTCGTGGTCCCGAGGGGTGCGTGAGCAGCATTACGATGGGCGTGATGGTTTGGAGCGTGAAGTATACTGGGAAAGTGTGCTTTTGTAGCGTGGAGAATTGGGGGCGCGGGAGCACGCGGAAGGCTACGATGCCGCTTACGAAGGACTGGAAGAGCGTGGAGCCGAGGAGAGTGCCATAGCTGGTTGTGTTAGAGGGGTCTGGTGCAGGGGAGAAGGAAGGAAAGTACCTGAGGAGATGGTATGTTGTCGGGGACTTGAACGAGGCGAGGGACATTGTTGCGGGTGGAATTGTTTAATTGGAGAGTCGGTTGTTGAAATTGTTGTTTGAGATGTTGCTGCTCAAGGTTTATAGACGTGGAGATGATTCGAATGGCAAAGGACGGCGCCACTTGATCATGTACCAGCTCTTGCCGCGGTCGATGAGCTCACGACATTTGACACGCGAGACCCTGCATCGCACTACGCCAAAAGCGGTCACGCTCGCAACCCCACCAAATCCATCTCATCCCACCCACCAACACGCGCATCGTCAAACTTCAACCATGCTCCTCCCCTCGCTCATCACGCTGCGACGTCCAACCGACACGCCTCTCGCTCCAGAAGACATCTTCGGGGATTCCCTGGGCGGCATCTTTGTCGACGATTTACAGAATCAACATGGCGATGATCCTGATACCGTTATTGTGTATAGAAATGCAAAGTACGGGGAACTAGAATTTCGCACCGCAGACGTAAATGGGGAAGAGCAAAGACGAAAGTTCGCCCACTATCTCTGGAATGCCGGTGTTCTGATGGCGGAATTGATTGGTGGTCGCCCGGAGGAAAGTAGCAAGGAGCAAGATGATGAGGGCTGGAGGGACGGCAATTGGTGGGTTGATAGAGAGGATGAGGCAAAGTGGAGTGTGAAGGGTACTGAGGTTCTGGAGTTGGGCGCGGGTAATGACTGCACGATTTGAGCTGAAAGAGACGGTACTGAGATGCATTGCAGGCGTAGGACTAGGCGGTGTCATGAGCGCGTTGACAGGCGCGAAAGAGGTACAACTCAACACCTCACCTGTCTGAAACTTGACCGCGCTAACAGGCCTTCCAGGTCGCCGTAACAGACTATCCAGCGCCTCCTATCCTCGACGCAATCACCACCAACATCTCGAAGAACGTCCCGGCGCACCTTCGACCCCACGTCACTGTCCAAGGACACCTCTGGGGCGACACCACGTCCGACTTTGCAGTTGCAAACGCCCACCGCTACACGCGCATCCTCGCCGCCGACTGCTTGTGGATGTTGTACGAGCATGCGAACCTCGCCAAGTCCATGCTGCACTTCCTCTCAGACTCTCCCGAAGCGCGCATATTCTGCATAGCCGGATTCCACACCGGTCGAGCGAAAGTAGCGCCGTTCTTCGAAGAAGTGATTCCCCAGCACGACCTCGAAGTGGAGGAGATATTCGAGATGAACGCAGACGGCAAGCGACGTCCCTGGGCGAAGGAGCGCGACGGCGGGCGCGAGGACATTGGCGAGCGGAAGAAGTGGCTCGTGTTGGCGCAGATACGGCGGCGTGTTCCAGCATAGGTAGCTCGAGCAAGCCCCCCCCTTACACAGACAGACAGTGCTCTCACCGTAGTCCTCACACCCTCTTAAAGCACAGCGTGACCACACTCGACCCCGTCTTGCCCCCAAACGTGAAACTCGGATACTTGACCTTACCCTCAAACTCCAGCCCACTCCCCTCACCCTCAAACCACCCCCTCAGCTCCTCCTCCGTCCAATTACAGCTCGTAATCAAGAACCGACCCCCCTTCCGCACCAACGGCTCAACCCTCTCCCGATACCCCTCACACACACGCCGCCCCTGCGCATCCGTCTCCTGAGACAGGCAAATCGCATCAAACGTGCCCTTATCCAGCACGACATCAAACCCGCCCCCCAGCCATGTCCCAGGCGCCTGCGATAGGATATCCCACTCCATAAACGCAATATCCGCATACTCCTCCCCCTCATCCCTCCTCTTCCCATCCAAAATCTCCCCCGCAAGCCCAACACTCTGCGCAGAGTAATCGACCCCAACCATCCCGCCGCTCCACCCCTCCTCCCTCAACGCAAAAAGTAAATGTCCATTCCCCGTCCCTAAGTCCAGAAACCTCGTCGCTCCATCTTCATCGTCCTCTTTGCGCAAACACCCCTCGTCTTCCAAATCTTCCAGAAACCCTAGCATGCGCTCCTCGGCGCCCGCGTCGCTGAACCATATCGTGCCTTCGTCGGCGGCGTTGGAGGAGAAGTTTTGCCGCTCGGTGGTGTAGGCTGTGTCCCAGTAGGATTTTGTGCCTAGGGCTGAGGGGTCGAGGTGTGTGGGGGTTGTCATTTTGGGCTGTTTGTTCGGGTTGGGTTTGTGGTGGAGGGGTAGAGTCTAGGTGGGGTTCGTGAGATTTTTTGGAATGCGGGGTGGGGGATTAGCGAGGGGAGGGGGTGTGAGGGTCTAGTCTAGTTTGTGAGACGTTGTGGGTTATGGTTATGCGAGTGAGAGTCTGTGATTATTTGCGCGGGCTTTTGACGGTGGTTGAATGAGAAGGGTATGGCTTCTGTGGTTATATGAGTTTGGGAGTTTTGGTCGCGATTGTCTCGAAGCTCTTGCTTTTCTGTTCAACGCTTCAATCGGATCTGTAAATGAGGATGTTCACGTTGAGTTGCAGAAGCCGACCAGTTCGAATACGCAGTAACCATACATTCGAATATAATTACTATTACATTGCTAGTTGTTACATGAGTTAAGACGAGCCCACCTTAATCTCAACCTACTGAAACAAACAATAAAAAAAACTGCCCATGACTAAAATAACAAGGTAACAAAGTACAAAGCACAACAAAAGTCCACCATACTCGTTCTCCCCAAACGTCGTCGCCTTAGCCAGCAGTATAGTCTGCATGCCCTCAGTACACTTTACACATCTCCATCCGAGGCCGAAAAAGGCACCAGAGGCATCCATCCTGTATCATACACTATTAATCATCTCTTTCGTCCCCTTTCGTCTTGCGCAATGCCCGAAAACTTGACTTCTCCACCCTCGATGCTTTGTTCGACGTGATCCGTGTCCGGCACCTTGAACGCACTTTCTTCAAATCCTGGTATGTGCAAGTTCGTCTGGCCCGCTAAGATTTGCTGGGTATACGAGCCCTCCGCCAGAGAAGGAGAGTACGGGGTGGCTGAGAGCCCACTTGTGCTATAACTAGCAGGGCTGTGGCCAGAGTAACTCAATCCAGAAACGGAACCCCGGTCTGCAACAGACGAAGGTGACTGGCGCGATGGTAGTGAGTGATGCATTGCCGACTGTTCGTGCAACGATTTTCCTAGCGTCGGCGAATACTGTGGGTTGAGAGTAGAAAACGGTTTATGTGTTGACGAGGACGATGACTCGTATAGAGATGACGGTCGTGAACTAGACGTGCGAGCTGTGGCGAGCGAAGGCAGCTCTGAACTCGACGCCAGATTTGGAGAATATGAGGCGGGTTCATAGAGAGATGACCGACGTGAGCCGCCTGACGCATTGTAGAGACGCTCTAATTGGGCGGTATATGACTCCCCAGATGGAACTGCCGATTCATAGAGAGATGACGGCCGGGACGAGGAGTGTGAGCCTGACGGATGGTAGAGGCGCTCCGTTAGGGGTTTGGACGTGTCATGATACGACGTTGGTCCGTCTGCGACAGACCCATGACGCGACCGATCCGACGTTACTGGCCCTCCATACGGACGACTCGAAGAGTCTCGCGAAGATGAGCCGTAAGACCCAATCCTTGGTGAGTGTTCACCAGCTCTGGCCGTATCAGGAAACTTGGAGTCACGATTGACTGATGCGAGTTCTTGCAAAATGGACGGATGAGAAACGCTAGTAAGAGAAGACTGCTGCGGTGTAGAAGCACTAAACAAACCAAGTGCATCAGGAAGACCCTGCTGTACAGAGGGGACGTGCTTTCCTGCATCGTGTATAGCAGGAATTTCATCATTCATGCTGGGTCTCGCGATCGTGGAGCCCTGCGTTGAAGTTGGTACATACGCGATTGACTTGTCAGAAGTGGAGGGGAGCCCACCAGAGGGTTCATGTGTGGGCTTGTCTGTACCAAGCCCGACAAGGTCTTTTCCAGCCTGTAACAATCCTGTGAGGGTGGAACCCTCAGAAGAGGGATTTTGCGAGCTCGTACTTTGAGGAACGGTAGGAGAAACACTAGACGAGGTTTGTGGTGGCGTACCCGCACCTATTCCGATGAGGTTCTGTCCGGCTTTGATGAACGAGGACAATGTGTTGTCTTCTTCGGGTTCAGACGTGGATCTTTCTGTCGTAGTAGGTTGCTGCGTTGCTGATGGTTCTTGTGCGGTCAAGCTGGGAAGTAAGCTGGTGATGGAGGAAATCAGTCCAGCTGGTTGGTCTGGTTGGCTGGTGGTGTTTGATACCGGCGATTTCTCTTCCTTCGAAGGCTGCCCAGAAACATCTTGTGGAGTTGACACCTGTTTGGTAGACGGAGACTGCTCATCCACATTCTGCGGCGTTGACGCCTGTTGTGGAGGGAAAGGGAGCACCTCCTTGACAACCTTCCTGTTATCGATCTCCTTTTCAGCAGGCTTCTGCTCTGTGGATCCCTGTGGTGTAGATGACAGTGACCCGTCAACATCCTTAGTTGAGGAGGGAATGGGCGCAGCGTCGTTGTGTGATGGGGACGATTCAACGGCCCGTTCTCCAACAACGTCATCGTGCGGGGATGGAGCGGGCTCCTCACGGGTGATGTCTGGTTTCGCAGAAGAAGATGAATCGGTGCTGCTCTGTGGTTTAGGGTGGGATGAACCAGCGACCTCTTTGGAAGCGGATTCTGGTCGAGCATCCTCCTGCAGAGGAATAAATGGACCCGAAGCATCTTTCGAAACAACGTCATCATTGGCGACAGGATCCTGCTTGGCAGCAACCTTCTCCGCGACAACGTCTTCAACAACGTCTTTCTTGACGTCGTCCTCGACTGCGACAGCTTTTGGTTCAGCGACATCCTTCTTCGAGGGAGAATCTTCTTCGGTAACGTCTTTCTTCAACCCAAGGTCCTGCTCGGGGATATCTTTCTTAGCAACATCCTTGTAAGAACTTCCCGTTTCAGGGACGTTTCCAGCATGAGGACTCTGATCAGTGACATCTTTCTCGACTACATCGCTCGGTTGAGCTACGGCTGGTTCGTGAGTACTTGGCTTGGCGGCACCTTCGCTGTCCTCAACAGCTGGTTTGTTCTCAGCGACATTCAGCTTGAGGAACTCCTGCTCGGGTTCTTTCGGGGCAGAATCCCGCTCTGTAACGCGTGCTTGCGAGGGTGAAGTGGGCTCGTTCTTCTCCTGTCTGCCAAACTCTGTGCCGAAGTCTGACATGGTGAAGCCTGGCTTAAAGACTCCAGTCTCTCCAGAAGAGGGCTCTGGTACACTCTTAGAGGCGGCCGGGGAGTCGGCCGAGTCGTCGATCACTGCAGAATCTTCTGGCAGCGTTCGCAGCGGTGGGTTCGGATGTTCATCATTTTTCAAATGTTCAAACTCAACCAGCGAAGACCGGCGGAGCTGCTCGAGCTTCTCTTCAGGGTTCTGTATACGTAGTAAAGTCAGCCTTTGCACATGATCTCAAACACAAATCGCAATAATAACATCAATACACAAAAGCAATGCAATAAACAATGTGACGGCCTGCTCGATATGCGCAAGTGAGTACGAGTCGCACGTGTCGTCGGATTGGTTATACAATCTCATTCGCCTGCATCGAGTCCGAAACCATTTCGAAGGTGAGCCAATTGAACCGGTTGACAATGTTGAGAAATTGAAAAACTGAAGAAACGGGTTGGGACGTTTTCTCATATTCAAGATCCATTGTGGTCACTGCTACTGGCTCTCCTTCGAGTTTGATGCTTGACGGCGATCACGTATGACTAAAGTTAGTAGATCTGCTACGCCCGCAGTGGCAGACGCAAGAGTTTCGCGTCGACAGAGGAAAGATCAGATTCCGAACCTACCCATTCAGTTTGGTCCGGCACTCCAGTAGCAGCTGGCAGCTCTCCTGTACCATCTCTCTCTCCTCCCCAGAATGTTGGTCGTTTCTGTGGCGCAGGCGTCACAGGAAGACTGGGTCGCTCAACAGCTGACGGGAAATCGGTCAGAATGAGACTCTCACGACGGCTTCGGCGCTCTGGTATGGGCGAGCTGATGTCTTGCGTGCCTGTCATGTTCTGAAGAACTTGAGGACTACCCCGCTTGACTTGGGAGTCCATGATGGAGCGTACGTAGTTGTCGATTCCTGGAACGTTGTCCCATGCATTACCGTTGTTGTGCTGGAAGGATTGCCATGACTCGTCAACTGCTTTCGGCGGGGAAGAGTGACCAGAGCTTGCGGCTGTACCCTTGTCGTCCGGGAAGTGGACAGTAGAGAACGCATGCGTTGGCGGTGAAGTTGCAGGAGCTGGTGTCGGCTCAGATGGAAGGTCCTCGGCGAAAACACGCGTAGCCCTGGCCCTATCAGGTTGTCGCTCCCACGGAAAGATAGGGTTCAGTGTCTCTGCAGGTTTGGCATTAGGCACTTGATACCACATGTCTGTCGGAGGATGTGGGTATGTTCCCGGCGCCTTGAATAAATCGCGACTATCACTGAAGTTGTACGTCTGAGTCGGGAAGTTGGCAGCTTCAGGTTTCGACTGTACTGGCGGTCCGGACCTGTGCTGTGTTAGTACACGCTAGGATAAGTTACGAACAGCGCCTACCTAGTTGCATCCCACGGGTTGTCAGAGGCAAGCTCAGAGTCGTTCAGGTGCGGCTCGGCAGAAAGATCGGGGTGGTTGGCGTCTTTAACCTCGTCCTGAGCATGCTTGTCATGCACCGACCACCAGTGACCTAGAAGCTCGTTGTAGACGTTGGACGCGCTAGATCTGCCTGAGCGATGGCCTGTCCATGGCTTGTCCTTGCCGATGAAATGGACGGCATTGATGTCCTTCTTGTAGTGTTGATATGCCGGCTCCCACTGATACTCGGCGTTTGGTGTGGTGTTGTAGGTGAACTTGAGACGCTGCCAAGGTCGGTTCTCGTAGTACTGGTTCAACAAGCCCTGGTCCGCACCATCGAAGCTCTCTCCGGAAGATGCGAGGGTGTGCAGTGCCCAGTACTGGGACATATCCGGCGTCAACACCATGACACCGCTGTTGAAAGCATCGGGCCAGCCAATGTCTGGCGCGGCAGCGAAAGGTGCCTCGATGTCAAACAGCTCGTCCAAGGCTCGAAGCGCCACCACATCAGCATCGAGATAAACGATCTTACGGAACCTAGTCTGTCGCCATAGAGCGATCTTGGTGAATGCATAGGACAAGTCAGGGCGTCCCATAAGATAGAGATTGGCGAGGTTGGGGCTCCGCAGGCGCTCGACAGGTATCACGTAGTCGTAGAGAGCTCTCAGCCGAGTGATGGTGTCGGCAGACAGAGTTTCCATAGTGACGAGCACGGCAAGCTTCTTCGTAGTGCCGGCATCGCGCAGGGAATGAGAGAGAACAGCGGCACCTAGCAGAAAAGTTAGTTCGGCGTCGATGAAGTTTTCCAGGGCGCGTAAAGAGGGATTGGAGCATGTTTCTCAGCCCACGAGCTCTGATATGCATCGTGCGGTGCTACAGTCTGTGTTTTACGTACCTGGTAGGTAGGAATCGCTCATAAGAAGCTGTATGGCTGATTAGCTTGCATGCCTGATTGCACCGCCAACGGGAAACTTACTGTGCAGTACACATCTTCGAGAGGCTGAGCCATGATGACGATGGCGAGGAGGAGACAGTAGCAGCTCTCAGAAAGAGAGTACGGTGCCTCTTAAGCGGGCGAGCTGAGAAGTCGTGCAATTGTCTTCAGGGTTCCCCGCAGTGATACGTGAAGCAAGTGTCGATCTCAGCGTTGTTCACTGATAGCGAGCAAGAACTGGATTCGCGGAGGGGTAGCAGGAGCTCGAAGACTGTAGAACAACGGGGCAGCAGGTCAATTAGGGTGCGAACACTCTTGGGTCGTGTTCGAAAGACAATTCTGTTGAACTATCGGAAAATTAAGAAGGTTGGTATCTAGCACGCTGGCTAGGTAATCGTTGAGAGATGGGCGGGCTGCCAAATAGCTACTAGGGAGCTTGTGCTTGGACCACCCAGAAAAACAGAGATGACGCATGGCGCGGTATCAGCGCACTTGCCCATCACTTGATTTCTTCCCCCTCTGTCACTTGACGCTGTCCGTCCTTCGCAATCAGTAGTCTCCACTTGACTGTCGTCATCTCTGCAGCTCAATGGCTGCTCGTCGAGGCCCAGCCACCTCATGAGGAAGTAGCAGCAGCGCTTGCTGCAGGTAACCGCCAGTCGTATGATGGCACGCACTACGATAGTGCGAGTTCCATGCCCTCCACCAGTTCTTTTCGGTCAAGGGCATCTTAATCCCCGCACGCGCGGGAGATGTGGAGCATCGAAAGAGACCTGCATTTTGCTTCTAGTTGTCATCCCGCCTGGTACGCTTGCCTTAGTCGTCTCTATATGGATATTCAGCCGCGCATTAGCTGGCAACAAATGCATAGGTAGCCATCGCGAATTGTCATCTTTGCACGCGTTCTGTGCTTCGAAGAGAAGATGAGCACCCCCACCAAGCAAACAATACTTTCGTAGCTCAGACACGAGACGCTTTGGGCGCGTACGCTCCCAACATTTTGCCCCAAGCGCTCATAACAAAACATCTAGATTGCAAATACGTTAGATAGACTAGTACTCGCTTTGTATCGCAGACATCTTGTCGCCATGCCACGCGCAAGCTAAACATACCCACAGCACATCAATGCAAAAGCCTCCAGCCCACTCCAACTAACACACCGCTGTAAGCAAAAAAAAAGTATCGCGATCCAAATCAATTGCGACAAAGCAGCCCGTTTCGTTTCAACTGCGCACCGAGGCATGCATGTATGCACCCACCCCCGCCACAACACCCCACCAAAACACACATCACGTATCCTCGCATCTCGCCTCTCGCTTAGCCTCCGCGCTCCGTGCCTCCCAGCAAGATCCCCAACGCAACCTCCTGTCACGAAAAATGGCACAGCTTTCTAATGTTGTCAGCAAAACAGCAAGAACATCAACATCGTTACTCATCACAACCAGTACCTAGTTAATTAGCTATTTCACGCAAGGTTAAAAATGTTACCACCCTTTAGTAAGTTAACTTTTAGAAAACCCCTTCGCAAGGTCAGGCTACTGCATACTAATCAAGAATGTATCTTATTAACATATCAAAAAGCTGTGCTGTTTTTCGTGACAAGGGGATGCGATTGAACGACGAGATAATTTTCTCGCTTCCCCATGCGCACAGAACAAAAACAACAATATCGCTGATACGCCTCGCATATGACCCGTGATATGACAACGCAGGAGCAAAAAAATGTGACTTGTCTGAGGCTTGAACTCAGGACCTTCAGTGTACTAACAGTAATGTTAGACTGACGTGATAACCAACTACACCAACGAGCCGTGATTTTGTTTGATGAGAATTCTGCGAACTTATTGGAATATAATTTTTGTGTGCAAAAAAATTCACGAGACGTGAGGGTTCGACGATGGACTCGATGCTTGGAGAACACGAGGATAAGTGTTTCAGGAGCTTATATTGTATATTGTACATCAGCGACGACGCAGAAGAAGGCAAAAGGGGGTATATAACAACAACCGCACTATCTCAACCACTAAACCCACACATCACGCCGCCGCGATCCTCCCCGCGCCCAGCACAACCCAAAACGCCTCCTCCCTCTTCTCCCTCCCGCTCTTCTCGCCGCGCGAGTCACCCAGCCCCCTCTCCTCTGCATTCGCATCAGCCTCGAACTCCAGCCTAACAAACACCGGAATCTCCAGGACATCGTCATCCTCCTCGAGCGCCTCATCAGCACCCACCACACTCGCCTTGCGCGCAGCACTCCCGCCGGTCTGCGCGGACGCAGCAACCGAGTCAAGAAAGCCCGGCACAACCTCGATAACAACACTCGTCCAATTCCTGCCCTGATCCCACGGCTTACCCGCCTCGATCTGCCCGTCGGCATTCATGACCGACCCGCGGCGCACGGCGGGCACGGCAGAGCTCAGCGCGTCGTCCCAGACGTCCGTGTTAGCGCCGACTTCGAACTCCGGGCACAGGATGGTGATGCGGGAGTGGACGTTCCCCGGGGTTGTGCTTGCGGTGGCGAGGGTGACGCGGATGGGGTCGAACAGGGGGTTGCTGAGGTGGAGGAGGAAGTGAGTTGGGATGCCTGGGCGGAGGGTGTTGTAGTTGAAGGGCGGGGTTGTGGAGGGGATTGTTGCGGGGCCGAACATGGAGGGGTTTGTGTTTGGGGATTGCAGGGCGCGGATGCTGATGCGGGGGGTGTGCTCGAGGGCGACGACTTTTATCTTGTAGCGTGTTGAGGTGATTTTGGATTCGGGTTTTGAGAGGATGTGCCGGCAGGTTCGGCACCGTTTTGAGCGCTTGGTGCAGAGGAGGGTTGCGGTGGGGCGTAGTTCGGCGTCGAAGCGTATGTAGGGGTTTATTTGGGCGAGCTTCTGGGCGGGCGAGAGCGTGGCGCCCCATCCGTCTTTTTTTATGCGCTCGATTGCGGCGAGGTCTGAGGCTGGGTCGTGGATGGTGAGACCTTCGAGCTCTGAGGCGGCTTCGCGCATGGGGGCGGGCTTGTTGCGCTTCTGCTTCTTGGAGCCTGTCGTCGAGTAGAGGTTCATGATGCGCGAGTAGGCCGATGGCGAGGAGAAGTTGAGGTCGTGGGTCGAGAAGGGACTGGCGGGCGTCTGGGCCTCGATCTGGGCCCTGTAGAAGGCGCTGAGGTTGGAGAAGATGTCGTCACGGGTTGGTGTCTCGCCTTCTTGTTCTGCATCACCAGACGCCGACTCTTCTGACGGAGAGAGCACAGGCCGCGAGTCTCGCTGCCTTGCCTCCAGCTCCCGGCGCCGCTCGCGCTCCTTGTCCCTTTCCTTTTGCGTGGGTATGGGCTTCCCCCCATTGGCGATCTTAGCCAGCTGGCCGTGGATGCCCGTGTGCTTCTCGAACTCGACGCCCGTCTCGACGGTGCTCCAATGGCAGTAGGGACAGGCCAGGATGTAGGGCCCGCCAGCCGCCGACGGGGCGTCCGGGTTCTCGAGCGAGTTGGTCATCAGCGACGAGGTGCAGACGGGGCAGCTGAAGCAGCAGCGCGTGCATCTATTCCCGTCGCTCTTGACGACGGAGCTGGGCACCTCGAACAGACAGGCGGGACAGAACCAGTTCAGCGTCTCCTCCATGACGCAGCGCGGACATCGTATCTGCTGGCAGTCCTCGCAGTAGAGCAGGTGCTCGAGCGGGTAGAGGGCGTAGTTGGAGCGCGGGCTGCGCGGGTCGAAGTTGCGCTCCTCCTCGTCGACGTCGGCGGCCGTGTGCGAGGCGCGTTTGGCCGACTTGGTCGTGTTGTTGTCGTAGCAGTCGCATGCGTAGTACGTGTAGGGGAATGCCTGTGCCATGATCCTCCTCTTGTCTGCCGTCCTCCCTCCGCAGTGAGCTGGTCCCTCGAGGTGGTCGAGTCTCGAATGTTGGAGGCTGTCGGTGAAACAAAGTGCCGAAGCTACTTCTCATATGCAGCGTCTTGACATCATTGTCTGGCTGGCGTCTTTCAATTGCACTGCTCTCTCTTTACAAAGTCCTCCCTCATTGATACTGCATAATCCTCGCAACATGACGACCTTTTCGATCCGCGCTTTCATCCCGCCATTGACGCGCCGATGCGTGCCCCTCCAAACAACGCGTCGCTACGCCGTCCAAGCTCCCGGAGCTCCAACACTCGAAATATTCAGTAACCAGCAAAAATGGATGCAAAAAGAAAGAGCTGCGTCCAATGCAGAGACCAGCAGGAGCGTAGACTACCTGAGAGATGAGGTCGCCTCACGACTGTGTGAGCGAGTATTGGTATGCTTTTTGCCTCATACCTTGCTCGTCTATCACTAACATGTCCAGGACATCAATCGCCACTTTCCACAAGTCCTCGACCTCGGCGCCAATGCCTGCAATATAGCCCGCATGCTCACTCTCCCCTCTGAAGAGACTCCAGATAAAGGCCCGCGCTCCAAACGCATCGGGACCATCACCGCCGCCGAGTCCTCCGAGACACTCTTGTACCGCGACGCCGACCTGCCCTTCAACAAGGAGGTCGACATCGTCCGACAAGTTCTGCCGACCTCTGAGCTGCTGCCCTACGAAGCCAGCACATTCGACGCTGTTCTGAGCAGCTTGAGTTTGCACTGGATCAACGACCTGCCATCTGTGCTGGCCCAAGTCAACCACATCCTGAAGCCAGACAGCCCCTTCATGGGCGTTATGATGGGCGGCGACAGCCTGTACGAGCTGCGCACCTCTCTTCAGCTGGCCGAGCAGGACCGCCGGGGTGGCGTGTCAACACACACTTCCCCTCTGGCTGATGTGCGAGACGTGGGCGGGCTTTTGCAGAAGGCTGGCTTCAACCTTCTCACTGTTGACGTGGATGACATTATCATCGACTTCCCCGATACATTCTCCCTGATGAAGGATCTCCAGGCCATGGGCGAGTCCAATGCGGTGCTGGGTCGTGAAAAGGGTGGAATACATCGGGATGTCTTGCTAGCTGCCGATGCGATCTATAGGGAGTTGCATGGCAATGAAGACGGTACCCTGCCAGCGACCTTCCGTCTGATCTATATGATTGGCTGGAAGCCCAGTCCTACTCAGGCGAAACCCCTGGAGCGAGGCACCGGTATGTTCAGCATCAAAGACTACCTGGAGAAGAACAAGGGCGAGGGCGGGAAAGAGTGAATCTGAATAGATATGGAAGCCCAACTCCACGCACAGAGCATCGTCTCACTCTGCCACATCACAAATCTAGCCACCATCTGAGAGGCAACTTTGACCAATTTCTATACTCTCCTCTCTCTCTCTCTTTCTTTCGAGCATGTCCTCTGTGATCCGTCTTGTCTTGAGAATTATCCAAGTCTGCCGACACACACGCAAGAGCTGGCTCACGTCATATGCTCGCCATTTCGAAGATATTCTCAATCCTGCCTCGCTGGAGCCAGTTGAATCGATCCAACAATCTCATCAATTTCCTTCATCACTTCCGGTGTAAGCTTGTCCAACGCCTGCAGCGCCGCACAGTTCTCGACGATCTGCTCCGGCCGCGACGCCCCCGTGATGACAGACGACACATTAGGGTTCTTCAAGCACCACGCCAGTGAAAGCTGAGCCTGGCTGATACCGAGTCTATCAGCAATGGGCTGAGCAACATTAGCGAAACACACCCTGAACCAGAAAGCGCCCACTAACCTTGAGTTTCCTCGCCTTACCAATCATCCCCCTCCACTCCTCATTCCCATACGCCTCCCTCATCCCATCCACAAACCTATCATTCTTGTTCGAAAACCGCGACCCCACAGGCGGCGCCTCAGGCGAATCATCATACTTCCCACTCAGCACGCCAAACTTCAACGGCGAAAAAACAGTCAACCCAATCCCAAACCTACTATACAGCCGCTGAAACTCCCCCTCGACCTTCTCCCGCGCAAGCAGATTATACTGCGGCTGCTCCACCACCGGCCCCACCAAACCAAGCTGCTTCGCAACCCCGCACGCCTCGGCGATCTCGTCAGCCGCCCACTCCGACGTGCCCCAGTACAGCGCCCACCCCCGCTGCTCAATCACATAGTTGAACGCGCGCACCGTTTCTTCCATCGGCGTCAGCCGATCTGGGCGGTGCGCATACACAATATCGACGTATTCGAGATCGAGCCTGTTGAGCGACGCGCGCAGACCCTCGATGATGTGTTTCCGCGAGAGGCCGTGGTTGTTGACCAGCACGTCGCCGTTTGCAGCGCCGTAGTTCAGTTTCGTGCTGATTACTATGTCGGAGCGCTTCCAGCCGAATTTCTTGATCGCTTGGCCCATTATTATTTCGGATTGCCCGCCTGAGTAGGACTCGGCGGTGTCGAAGAAGGTTATCCCGCTGGTGTAGGCGCGGTTCATGCATGTGAATGTTTGCTCTGTGCTGTGGCTTTAGCGATCCGTTGTGCGGATGAAGATGCGAGAAGATGTACCGTTCTCGACGTGCCCGCCGAATGTTAACCAGCCTCCTAGTCCGAGGGCGGAGACGTGCAGCCCGGAGTTGCCCAGTCGCCGGTACTGCATGCCTGTTTTTCGCGGTTCTTCCCACGCCATTGCTTGTTCGTTTGCTTGGTGGATGTCGATATCTAGTAACAATGAAGCTTTATTCGTTCCAATACGAATCGAGGAGTTTCTCGAGATGGAACAAAGGACAGACTGCTGGAGACAAGTAATGACTACGCGAAGCGCACAGGGTGTTTTTTTTCGCGGTTCGCGTCTTTCTCCACCGGTCTGGGCAATCCACTTTCTCATCCTTCCTCCGTCGCATACTTACCTATGCTGTCCTTGATTCCCGCGCCGATCAGACCGCTTCCACATCCCACCGCCTCACCATCTCCTCTTGATCTCCTCGTACACCGCCTCTCTATTGGCTGGACACAGATAGCATGACTGGTATCATTCAACACCACGGCATGGTTTATCCACCACAACAGCAACAGAAAAAACTTTCCTCGCCGTTCATCCGCATCGTTCGCAGTGGGGTATCAGAAGTCGCGTTGTTTCTTTGGACATGACGTCGGATGACATACCCCGTTGGGATTGGGCGCGGCTGTGGGTCTGGGGAAACGTTATTCGGGGGTGCGATTGCGTTATGTGTTGGTGGGGGGAGTGTGGGACTTGAAGTGCTGGGTTTTGGGTGGGTCAGGTAGGTGGGGAGATGGGAGTGGGGCGTTTGTCTTGGTATGGAGAGTGAGGGAACACAAGGTACAGATTTTTTATATGTACATTTTCTACGTTTTGTAGGTTGTTGTGATATTTACTTGGGCTTGATTCTGGAGGGGTTTATACGTGACTAGAAGGGCGTGGGGATTTGCAATTACGTGTATGTAGGAAGGCATATGTCTACTGGTTTGGGAATGCCATGTTCCTTTGCACATATACGGGTAATCCTACAGCTTAAACCGAAAGTCCAACCGCCTATTCCCCTCCCCCTCTCGCGCCCCAATATCAGCCTGATAAGCCGCCCTCTCCCCGCCCGTCATCCCCCTCCACACCCTCTCCTTCGCCCCATTCAGCCTCACCAACACCACCCGCTGAACCGCAAACACCACAAGCGACAGTCCACAAATCGCCACCAGCACCGTATTGCCCTGCTTATAATACGGGCCATCCCACTTACGGTAGATCTGCGAACCAACCAGCGACCCAATCTGCACGATAACATTATACGTCGCAGCCGTAACAGCGCGCTTCCTCACATCAAACGCATTCTCCGAGATCCACGCCGAGACCAGCGGGTGGAAATACGGGTATCCTGAAATCAGCGTGATGAGCGAGAAGCGGTCCCACTCGCGGCCGCCGTCAGGCAGGGTAAGCAGCGCGGTGAGGAGCGGTAGCAGCCAGAACTCGCCGACGATGCAGTGCAGCGTGCGCTCGTTGAAGTAATCGCTGCTGTAGGCCAGGGCGAACATGGTCAGGATTTGCAGCACGGCGGACGGCACGGTCAGCATGTTGGAGGCGAAGGTTGTGAAGCCTAGGCGCTTGAGGGTTAGGGTTAGGTAGGCTTGTACTGGGGATGCGGGGATGTAGGCGATTAGGCCGATGAGGTAGAGACCCCACATTGAGGGGTCGGTCCAGGCGGCTTTTATGTCGAGGAGGGTGGCGGGCTCGTGGAGGAGCGTGAGGCCTTTTGCCGGGTCGTCGCGGAGGATGCGCTGGGGTGGGTTAGTTGGGGTTGTTGGGGATGGGTGGATAGGGGGGCGTACGTTGACCATTATGACTTCCTCGCGCTCGGTGTACCATCCTTTACGCCAGAGGACTGTTTTCGTCGACGTAGGTGACTCGGGCAGCCACACGTACGACACTCCCGCGATGAGCAGCGTCAATAAACCCTCGAGCACGAACAGCCAGAACCAGCCTGGTTTGCCTCCCACGCCGCGCATTTCCAAGATACCAGCAGCCAGTAGGGCAGAAATGACACGCGCAACATTGAGCGAGGACCAAAACGCCGCCAGCCGAATCGACAGCTCCTTGGACGTGTAAAAGTACGTCGCAAACAGCACAACGCCGGGGATAAACCCGCCCTCGCACAGCCCCAGAGCCGCGCGCGCCAGGTAAAAAGACGTGCGATCGTGCATGAAGGCCTGCGCCCACGACACGGTGCCCCACGCGACCATCATGCTGGGCAGAATCCACTTGAAGCCGTAGCGCTTGGTGAGGAACTGGACTGGGAATTCTGCGGCCAGGAAACAGAGGAGTTGGATGGTGGTGCCGTTGTTGTAGTCGTCGCTTGTGAGGTTGAGGTCTTTGAGGAGGTTGTCTGCCAGCGCGTTGGAGAGGGAGCCGCGATCGAGTTGCAGCGCGAACATCATGATGCAGAGCCAGGCGAGCAGGTGGAGGTCGGTTTTCAGCACGACGCGGCGCTCTTCGGCGGCGGTCCAGGAGGCGTGCGGATCGAAGCGGTGGCGGCCTTCGTAGCTGGGGGGGTTGGTCAGTGAATGAATGGATAAGAAGGGGGGTTTGGCGGAGAGTAAACGTACGCGTCGTGCGGTGGGACGATGTCTGCGAGCTCTTCTCTGCCGACTTTTGTAGGCGCTTTGAGCGATTCTGCGTCCTCGCTGACCCGCGTCTGCGGCGCGGTCTCGATATCAGCACCACCCATCTTGACAGCCTTGAGACGACTTTCGAGTAGTCTTCAAGACTGAAGTCTTGGATTGGATATGCGCTGAAGATTCACCCTTCTTACCAGTGTAGCCGTATTTAAAGAACCAAGACATGCATGGCGCAATCGCTGTGGATTCCAACGCAATTGCACCGTTGCCTCTACTGTAGTCGTCGACCCCACCCCGCGCCGTATGCCGGGGTATGGAGATTCCAAGTATACGGTAAGGCCTCGCTCTTCTTCCCGTTCGCGGCAGTGTTCATCCGCATGTAGCAGCCTAGTCCGGTTTGGTATGCATACCCGATGACGTGCTGGAGCTCTTGCATGTGAGTACCTAGCATTGCGGCATGCCATAAGATGCTCCTGACGTCCGGAAAGTAGATTCCTTTGGGATAGCTTTCTACGACTAATTCTGCCGCAGTTCGTTGCTGTTGGAATTACTTGTTTGAGATATTTCTGTTACGCTGTTGAATTGTCACTCAAGCGGTAGGATGCCTTCTGTTGAGCAAGTTGGAGGTGACCAGGCGAATATGGGTATAGTGGGCGGCCATCCTGATGCGAGGACGAGGCTGCGGGAGCCACTGTCGTACTCAGGGTCGTTAGACGACTTCAAACACCAAGACTTGACGCCGGTGATTGGACGGGAGTTTGAAGGCCTTCAAGTGACCGACCTGTTGAAATGGGGCGACGAGAGAATCAGAGACCTCGCGGTTACAAGTATGTCTTGTGGTGCATTTGATTCAACATGACATCTGATTTGATGTAGTTTCGCAACGCGGAGTTGTCTTCCTTCGGGATCAGATTGTATCGCCCACACAGATGAAAGACTTGATGCTGCGCCTCACTGAGTTGTCTGGATGCGTATGTCTCCCTCCATCGATGCAGTAGTCCAATACAAGCCGTTCATCGTTTTGCTCTGAACAAGCTGTCGGACAACGACCATCACATACCACACCAATCATTCACGATTGCTAACACGCCCCAGCCCCAATCCTCAACCCTACACATCCATCCCCTCACCGAGGAAGGCTCCGAACTCGGCGACCAAATCTCCGTTATCAGCAGCGAAAAGCAGAAAAAAGGTGGCGGCCTGACGCACCAACTCGCCGATGTCTCGCGCTTCGCCTCGGCCGGGTGGCACACTGACATATCCTTCGAGAACGTGCCGTCCGACTACGCGATGTTGAAAATTCACACTCTACCCCCGACGGGCGGCGACACGATGTGGGCCTCTGGATACGAAATTTACGATCGTTTAAGCCCGGCGATGCAGACGTTCCTTGAGGGACTGACGGCGACGCATGATGCGCGGTTCTTCTTAGAAGAGGCGGAACGGCTGGGGAATCCGATTTGGAAGGGTGTGAGAGGGAATCCGTTGAACCAGGGCGACAAACTGATGGCCGTTCACCCCGTGATTCGGACAAATCGTATGTTTATTTCCCTATTCTCAGCTCCAACACCCCAAAGTACCAAGACTTGATGTAGGCTGACAACTACACAACAGCCGTGACGGGCTGGAAATCCGTCTACGTGAACAAAGGCTTTACTAAACGTCTGAACGGCGTCACAAAAGACGAGTCAGACCTCATATTGAACTATCTCTTCAACATTGTCACGCAGAACCATGACGCTCAGGTACGCTTCAGGTGGCAGCAAAATGATCTCGCTATTTGGGACAACAGAAGTACGTGGCATTGCGCGACGTACGACTACACTGATCCGCGAGCGGGCGATCGGGTGTGCAGTGTAGGAGAAGCGCCGTATTTAGATGTGCGGAGTAAGAGCCGGAAGGAAGCGTTGGAGTTGTTGTAGCACGATTCGTTGAGTGAAACTATCCAAAGTGAGTGGCGTTGGGGAATACATCGTCATCCTTCTTCTTCTTCCTTGTCACCATACTGTCCAGCGTGCTTTGACTTGCTTCTCTCTTGTGTGCTGGTTTCTTGGGTGCGACTTTCTTCTCACTCTTCACTGCCATTTTCTTCGCCGTCTTCGGACTAGGCGGTTGTTCGTCGTGGCTTTCCGCGCCGTCGGCATCTTCATGCTTCACCATTGCACCTGGTGGTCCTTCTTTCCCCTCTGTAGGACCCTCGGCGTGGTCATCGAAAAGCTTCCTCCAAGTCCCGTCCAGAACCCTTGGATCATTGCCATATAAACCAATATGATATGCGCTCTTCATCCCGTTGAGACAGATATCCCTTCGTTCCGGAAAGTCGAACATCGGCTTTGGGTACGTCGTCCCATTGGCATCCTTCCCATCCCCCTCGATGCGACACCCCCACTTCTTCTGGTCCGAAATAGGCGCCTTCCATGGCTCGTAAATATACTTCCTGCCGAAATCCTTCAACTCAGGCACATACCGCCTCACGAACTCGCCATCTTTGTCCCACTTCTGCGGAAACGCAATCGGTGAGTAACACCGGAAGAACTGCGCGAAGAAGGCTGTGCAGCTCAACCACTGCCAATTCCCGATGTTGCACGCCGCTTCGTGGTCAATGAGCCATTCTTCAAAGACTTCGGCGCCGCGCTCCCAATCCACGTAGCAGCCACCCCGGGTGAGGAAACACGCCACAGCATGTCGACCGAGATGGTGGATCCAGCCTTCCTGCTTGAGCTGCCGCATGAGGGCGTCGATCCAGGGGAAGCCTGTGCGGCCTTCTTTCCAGCGGATGAAATACTCTTCTGCCCTTGCATCGTCGACTAGATATTTGCCCGTGATGAGACCCGTCTTGGTGTCGATTTCCGAAGGTAAGTGCCAGGGGATGAACCGACACTGCGGGTTGTTGTACGTCTGGCCGAATGCATATCCCAGCGCTGCCTGCGCCCCAAAATACATATCTCGAAACAGCAACTGTCCCGTCAAACTCGTCGGCGGCTGACTTGCTTTACCTTTATACGAGTCCACGACGTCCTGCACGCGCCAGTAGAACTCACGACAGCTGAGAGACCCGAAGTGCATGTGTGGCGACAATAGCGTCGTGGCCTGAGGTTCGAAAGCTGTTGGCGCGGTTTTCGGTTTCTCGAACGTCGCCGTGTAGTCTTTGTTTGCAATTATCTCATCCAGAGTTTTCAGCGCGAGGGTTTCCCCGCCTCGATGAGACGATGTGGCTTCCTTCAGCCCTAGCTCTTCCATAGTAGGTAACGCGAAATCACCCTTAGGCCCCGCAAGAGCGGAATAGCTCGCCTCGTTGCCGTCACGCTGAATGGAATTGATATCCGGCTTCTCCTCTGGCTTCTCTTGCTCAAAGGTCACATCTGTAGCTCCTGGATCGGGTAACGAAGTAGGCGCGGGAATCGGCCGGGGAATACTCCCAATCCTCTTGCCTGCGCTCTGCACTTGACTTATACTCATTGTCGGCTTCCCGTGGTTCTGTTTGACCAGTTCATCTGGATCGTACAGCGTACGGCCTGTCTTCACAATGACCTGCACTCCTGCTTCTTCGGCAAGTTTCATCACTTTGTCATCGCGTTCTCGCGCGTAAGCATCCGTGTCTTTCTCGAAGACTAGATGTGTGATCTTCCACGCCTTGAACAATTTCGGGAACAGCGTTTGCGGCGCTTCTCGGATGAGAAAGAGCTTTGACTTTGGATTCAACCTCGTGATCGACTTTGACAGGTCGTTTTGGCAGTCGAGAAGATATCGCCAGCGGTTAGGGCCCACGCGCGCGCGGTACACGTAGTGCGGATCCCACGTCCAGATCGGATACAGGCATTCTGGCTTGAGGTCCAGCGCGGCTTTGAGAGCCGGCGAGTCGTGCAGGCGCAGGTCGGTGCGGAACCAGTAGATGACCCGTGGTTTGGGCATGGCGATGTAGAGGGTGGTATGTAACGTGACGAAAAAGAGAGTATGAAAGCGAAAAGTCGAGATGCGTGGACGAGTCTAATGACGAACATCCTGGGCCTGTTCCTGAGCTAAGTCCACGGAGCTGGAAGATGCTGTCATAGATCGGACGCTAAATATTTCGCTAATCTGATCGGAGGGGATCGGACCAATGATATATGTCCATGCTTTTCGAGTGAATGTTACTTGCATCGCGAGTTCGACAGGTCGAGAGATGTGTATAAATTGACAGGAATTACAGCGCTCTCAGTCTGACTTTCATACACAATATCTTTCAATCCTCTCCAGTCTATTCAATATTAGCTTAGTTGTTTCACTGCTATTGTCATATTCAATCCTCAGTATTGTCAAAGAAACCAATGAATTTTTTGCGATATAGTGCCCACCTTCTTACAGCCCAAAACATTTCCTGGATCAGCGTTTCCACATTACGTTGGAGGCAGGAAGCAATAGATCATCTTCAATGTACTTTGCGCTTGTAAACTGGATGTTGTAACACGTGTTCAAGATATTTAGCCCTCTATGTAAATTGAGATTGATCTTTCTCTACTATCATAACCTATTATATTTCATGTTGTTGAGTAAAACTGTGGGTGGATAGCGCAGACGCAAACTTCAAACTACGTGCTACATTACATGTGCAAGACTTGAACATCGATGTTTCGATTGAGAAGTTACATTGTATTATTTGAAAAAAAAACCTTGAATGCTAAATCATATCTACTAAGAATCTTGATAGGGTATATTCCTAAACCTAGCGTTTGATCTCAAAATATTCAAGTTCTTTGTCTTAGTCATTTGTATTCCGTCACATTGCTCAAACTAGATCCATGAGGCTACCCAGCCTCCTATACAACCAGACCGGTCCGCGTCATCTCCCCCTTCTTGACCTCGCGGTCACATGTGCGGAGACCCTCGCCGTTGGTCGAGACCTCGATGACGGGCACACGTTGAACACGACGAAAGATCTTTTTACGGCCGTGGCCAGACTTCTGGAAACGAGGCATTGTGCAATTCCGAGACATGTGACCTCCAGCACCGCAGTTATAGCAGTGAATCGGCTGCTTCACAGGCTGCTTCTTGCTCTCTGCGGTGCACTGCCGAGAAACGTGTCCCCCGTCACCACAATTGAAGCAATTGGCAGTCTTCTTTGGCTCGGGAGAGGGGCTTTCAGACTCCGCGGAAGGAGTAGCGCTCGGTGACTTAGAAGACACACGCTGGGGACGAGCAGTGTAGTCCACTACCTCGGGCACATCTTGGGCGTCTTTGTTTGTCGAGGACTCAGTGGTTGTCAGAGGTTTTGATGGCATCATCTCCTCAGAGGTGCTTGGCTCTTCCCGTGGAGATTCAGACGTGGGAAGGCCCTTGCCGTAATCATTTGCCCACCGAACATAGCGGTTGGGGTTGAACTGAGGTTTGCGCTGGGCAAGGACCTTCTGCATAGTTTGAACTAATGCATCCCCAAACGACTTGTCGACCGTAGCATACGACATGTAAGATGTACAGTTAGACGCTCCCGGGCTCACCATCTCATAAGCCAGGACGTCGATGACCTGGGTGTAGAGGTCGGGAATAGCGACTTCGAAGATCCTGAAATCCTCGACGGAAGGGAGGATGGCGCAGAATATGCTCTTCAATCGACCAACGATGCGGTTCATGAGAGGCTGGTACTCGAGGAACGCGCAATGGTGGTGGAGAGAGGTAAGTTCATCGACCGAAAGCTGGCTGAAGGGTTTAAGACCTTGAGAGTCATTCTCGCCAGCGAACATGTACTTGTAGATCCACACAATGGAAGTCTTGGAGCCATTGGGGATGACAAGAGCAGAGGCGTGGTCCTTGAGAATCTTCTGCTTGGCGTAGGGGGAGTAGTGCGCGAGCAAGTTCACTGAAGCGCCCTCCAAGCCAATGAAGCGGTCGTTGTCGGCACCGACCATGATGTTGACCTTTGAGCCCTTTTTGAGTTCGGTCAGTTGACCCGGGGTCAGAAAACCCTTGACGGCCTTGTTCGACTTCGTCGATCGAGAGGAGACTTTGGCGGATGATTTAGTGACTGACATGGTTGGATGGATGTTGATTGAATGTGGAATAGATATGATGTTGATCGAGTTGGTAACAAGTTTAGAATGATGTGTTGTTGAGTAGAGAGATTGGTGTGGGAAGAAAGAGAGAGCATAGGCAGAGGTTTATCTTATACGCCCGGGGGTCTGTCGGAAAGGGCCACGTGAATACGCATGCTAGCGTAGATATCAGGTGAGAGCATAGTGAATGCTCTGTAGCAACCCAGTGAAAAAGCTAGGCAGTAAAGATGAAGGGTATATAGTGAGAGTCCAGATGCGCACCATGCATAGTGAACGCACCGATCGCTAGCTTGGTGTGATGGAGAGGTGATTTTGGGTCTCTTGATGGATTGCTGTTATATAGAGTAGACATTGTCGGTGAGCTATTACAGTGCGTTCTGGACAGTGTAGAGAGAGTATCACGAAAGTAGACGCGCCTTTTGAACCATTGCGGGAAAACTGGAGGGCGGGACCATCTGGTTCATAATAAACCCTGAATGAGGAAGTATACCTTCAAAAATTCCTCTATATGTCAATCCAGAAGCTTGAAGTACCCTTCGACTTACACTTTAATCTCCACCCAAGGCATATATATGTACTGAAGTAGGGTCCAGTTTCGCAAACAACATAGCAATGCTCAAACATAGACTTGCCTGTTAAGAACGGCTCTATCGCAAGCTTTTCGGTACTTTGTTCGTCGGTTCGGAACATCTAAGTACCAAACAAATAACCCGTATTGCAAACGGTGACCCTGTGAAGGGAAGGTCCTCGTTTGGGAAATGCGTACCATGCAAACGTTGGAACCGTTTCAGATTTGGATGTTGTCCGATAGACATCCGATTGAGACATTAAGAAATCCTCGCATGTGTCCGCGTTAGCAGCCCCAGTATGGTTTCTGCGCAGAGCCTGTACTCAAATCTTCACCAGACTTACCTCTCACAAGCCCAGAATAACAATTATGTTTCCAGTAATGTGTTATCGATGCCAGGATAGCTGCAATTCTTGACGTTATTCTGTAGCATCTTATACTTTTGCAGTGGGTGAATTAAATGTGTTGTGTACCTACTCACGGTGAAAGCTATATCGCTAGACTCGCTTCAGGACAGCGCGATCAAGCAACACCGGCAACCACTCCAACTCACAGTCGCAATCGCGCACTTTCGCTGCGGACCGCCACAATGCCCACCTACCGAAGCATCAACATCGCTCTCCACTCCCAGTTCGACGTCGAGACGATCCCAGAATACTATCCTCTCACCTCAGGACATTTCGCTTCGCGCTGCATCACCGACTTCACACCCCCGCTCGTCGATGACAAGACCTCGACATGCAGCGTCTACATCCCTGTGCTGCCCGGGAGTACATTCTGGATTGGATACTCTGTCTCACCGCCGGTTCCAGAGGGGCAGTACTTTCTGTTCAAACTGTACATCGACGGGGCGCATGCCATAAGCTGGTCTACGGGCAAGGACGAGGAATGGCGGGGAAAGACTATGTTTGGCCTGTTTGAGGGGGAAGAGAGTACAGAGAGTAGGAGAAAGATCGAGAAGCGGGTGTTGTGTTTTTCGCCACCAAACAAGAATGGGAAGGACGTGTTTGACGAGAAGAGTTGTGTGGAAATCAGGGTTCATCGTGCACATGGGCGGAAGAGAATTGAAAGGCAGTTCGGCGAGTACAACGAGACTGACAAGGGTGTCAGGTAAGCACTCGAATGACATAGAACTCCGAGGTTATGTTTGGCATGGTGGGGCTAACTATGAGCAGACTTGTGAGTGCTGGGCGCGCAGGTCCGGAGCAACTGAAGCGGTTCTATAAGTTCGCGCTCATCGACCCGACGAATCAACCGTTTGCGACGTTTCGATACTACTACCGTACCTGGGAGCAATTGAGAGATTTGGGACTGCTTGAAGAGGAGTACGGTGCAGGTGAAGAAAACGATCTTTCTGTCATCGAGCCCGAGGGGGCTGTGAGCCAGGACGAGACTGAGGACGATGATGAGGATACCGACCGCATTACCAACGACGAGATAGAGGATGAAAATATGGCGAGCTCGGTCAGACATACTTCTGAACGCTGCCAGAGTATGGTCGAGGTAAAGATACCATCGACTACAGTCACTCCGCACCGTCAAGCGAGCGATACCTCAGAACACCCACGCGTATACCTTCCCCGCGGTACTCCTACAACATGCCCAAACGCGGTGGACGGACAAGCAAATGCGCAAGAACAGCGACACAACGGCGTATCTACTCCGTCTAGCGTCTACCGCCTTTCCTTCCCGCCATCTGTGAAGCTTGATGCTCCTGACCAGAGCCTGAGGCCTTTACCCGCTGTCCCAGAGAAGAGTAGCTCTTACTCAAACACGTCATATCGCCCGCACCCAGCATATCCAGTCGAAGAATGGGCCGTACGCACTCCGAGCCCGGAGAAGTCGTTTAGGGATGGCGTCTCGACGCCGCCGCTGGTGAGGAAGAGGCATGCTTCATCGTTGATGCAGATGATCTCATCCACCTGGAAGCGTCGTGGTACTCCAAGTGCGGAACGGACGGGGTCCATCGATGGGGTACGGAGTGTTACTTTGTGATCTGAGTGCTCCCGAGGTATCGATGTTGGGTAAAAGGTATATCGACGTAGCGGCCTTGATGGCTACATGGTATTGTTGCGCACTCGCTCAACGAGAACGCATTGTACAGTTACGATTGATCGACGTCTGAACTGGAAGGGTAAGTTGTGAATGACGACGTGTTGCCGTCTGAAACAAGGGATGGAATGCACGGCCTGACTATGCAAGGAACACGATGCCGATTGGCTCTCCGCAACCCCGCATTCTGAAGCTCCCCCAAGCTTCCGTTCTTGACAGCTCCCGACCTCCTGTACAACCTACAATCAAACTTCAATGACGACGCTTCGCTTTTGTTGATCGTGTTATCTTTTGCTCTGTTTGGAATCCTTGGTTTAAGACTAGTTGCTCGCAATGCGGCTATTAGACATCATACCCGCGTCGCTGCTGGCAAGCGTCGCGAGTGCGTCGACCCTCCAACCACCCGTTCTCCCGCTGATCGTGAGAAACCCGTACTTGAGCACATGGCTCCAGAATGCAAGGCATGAGCCATGGAGCAAATGGCCCATGTTCTGGACTGGCGCCGAAGTACGGAACCCATTCATCGAGCGTACCGTATCTACGCCGTGCTAACGGATCATATCGCAGATCGGCTTTGGTGTCCTTGCGTCTCTTCCCGATTCGAACGAAGTGTTTCCGCTGCTGGGCCGGCCCCACGATTCGCTTGAGGATAGCGACGAGTATGTCGCCCATGATTGCCTTTGAGTGTATCCGTAGCTAACGCAGTTGGCAGCTACACTATCGCATACTCCACTTACAAAGGCGCCAAGTACGACGCGTCGACAACGAACCTTACGTACTCTCTCCCCGCGCCATCCAAGCTGGCCAGCGCAAAGGCCCTTGAAATCACACTCTCCTTCCTCTCTCCCATCACACCTACATCGACTCTGCGGCAGGCGATTCCGGCGGCATATCTCAGCATCTATGTGGAGGGAAGTTTCGATGTCAACATCTACGTCGACGTTAACGGACAATGGGTCAGCGGGAAGCGCGAGAGTCTCATAGAGTGGGGTCTCACAGAAGAGGAGGCCGTTGAGCCAATGAAGCCCCTCAAGACATGGAAAGTCAAGCGTCAGGTGGAGCAGATCTTTACCGAGACGAACGATCAGCCAGAGTGGGGTCAGCTGCACTTCACCGGGCCGGGGGATGTTCAACATGAAGCTGGTACTTCCGAGCTGCTTCGCAAGAGGTTCGCTCGCACAGGGACGCTGCAGAATACCATCGATGAGTCGTTCCGCGCCATCATGGATGACGAGCCGGTGTTCGCTTTCGCGAAGCAATTCAAATTGGCAAATTCGTCAGGATCCACGGCTTCTACAAGCAGCAGCGTATTGTTCACTATCACGCACATCCAAGACCCCGTCACACAGTATGCCTCCGCGCGCGGCCTTACATTCATGCGACCCTTGTGGAAGTCGTGGTTCCCCTGGGACAACGAGCTCATACAGTTCCACTACGGCGATTTCGCCAATGCCAACAGTCTGGCGGGCAACTACTCTGAACAGCTCCGTATCGATGCCTATCAATCGGGATCAACAAACTACGTGGATATCGTCGCACTGTCGGCTCGACAGGCGATGGGCGCAACAAGCTTCTCCGGGACCCCAGATAATCCCTTGCTGTTCCTCAAGGAAATCTCTTCGAACGGTAACTCCCAAACAGTCGATGTCATCTTTCCGGCTTTCCCGTTCTTCCTCTACACCAACCCAAAGTGGCTTGCGTATCTGCTGGAGCCACTCCTTGAGCACCAGTTGAGTGGTCAGTACCCGAACCAGTATTCGATGCACGACCTTGGTGCACATTTCCCCAACCTCACTGGACATGCTGATGGAGCCGACGAGTATATGCCAGTGGAAGAGTGTGGTGATATGCTTATCATGGGTCTGGCTCTCGTGAACTCCCTGACCTATGGCTCTGACGCAGAGGCCCAATCTGTGTGGTCAACTGTAGGTAGTGCCGTAGATCACACCGACTTGCACGAGAATCCGTTTGCGTTGTCAAACTTGGGTACGCATGATGGTGTTGAGCATATTGACGAGACTTGGGGCGGTGGAGCGAAGGGCGTCAACCAGGCGAAGAAATGGCTCGGCGGTAGCTACGATCTATGGAAGCAGTGGACAAGTTACCTCGTGAAGGACGCTCTTGAACCCCACAATCAACGTAAGTTCAGAGATTCGCTTTTCACTTCTACATTTAACTGACAGTCTTCATAGTAAGCACCGACGACTTCGCCGGCTGGCTTCCTTTGCAGACAAACCTGGCCTTGAAGGGCATAGTTGGGATCAAAGCCTTCAGCGAGATAGCAGACCTCTTGGACCGATCTGGTGATGCTGATGAGTATCGAAACATCTCTGATACCTATATCGAAAAGTGGCAAGAGTACGGTATTTCACGAGACGGATCACACGCCAAGCTCGCATACGACTGGTACGGCAGCTGGACAACGCTGTACTCCCTCTACGCTGACGCAATTCTCTGCTTCCACCCTTCCATAACAAACTCCTCCTCGGTTTCATCCACTTCAGGCTTCTCCTCTGGCAACGACAACGCCCAGCAGCCTTTGAATTCCGGCAAGTCTAGTTCCGGCCGCACGCCAATAACCAAAGACTTCATCCCCAGCCACATCTACGACATCCAGTCCGAGTGGTACTCCGCAGTCATGCAACGATACGGACTACCCCTCGACTCTCGCCACCTCTACACAAAGTCTGATTGGGAATTCGAAGCCGCTGCCGTGGCTTCGAAGGAAGTGCGCTCGGAGATCTTGGATCGAGTGGCGCTGTGGCTTAATGAGACGGTTACGGATCGCCCGTTCACGGATCTGTATGTTACGGAGGAAGATGGTGGGTTTCCTGGGCCGTGGTTCTTTGCTAGGCCGGTTGTTGGCGGGCATTTTGCGTTCTTGGCGCTTGAGAGGGCGTGTGGGGGGACGTGAAGATGAGATATAAGAAGAGTTTGGGTAGTGACTGACTAGCTAGGCGGCGGAATGTATAGATGATCTCTGAAAGGTGAGTTTACGACTGTAGGCTTCGTGTTGTGGAGGCGCTTTATGACAAGTTAGCATAGTACAGTTCCACCCCTCTTCCCATGATCCAGCCGCTACCATAATGACCAGCGCATTTGTCGTTTTCTTTGTGCGGAGAGCTTGTGTTTTACTTCGGAATGTATGTTCTCCAGTTGCCGCGGATGAGCCATTGAACGTCGATTCTTACTTTGACAACGGCCAAGTCAAAGAAGTATTCATGATGCTATTTACAGAATAGAAGGAACAAAGAAATCGAGATACCTTATCAACCAACATACTAATATCCTCGAGGCAACATGCATACGCAAACTCAAGGCGAGATCTAGATAAAATTCCACAGCAAACGACAAAATGGTGCTATACGACGAAAAAGGCCGAGTCATCAAGGCGCACGAAGAATACCTCGAACAACTAGCCAAAAAGCACGCAGACTATATTGACTGCCTATACCTCGACCAGATCGCCGTATGCAACGCCCACGACGCCGACGCAGGCGCGCAAAAAACCCAATGCTTCATCACCATCCAGCCACAAAAGTTCGGACGCCTGTACACGCGCTACGGCCACGTCAAGGAAGACATAAAACACTTCCGCACCAAAACCCCCATCACCATACCCGACGAAGGGCTTGATCGCCGCACGCTCATGCGCTGCTCCACAACTGCGGACGAGTTCTTCCGTTACAACCCCACCGCGACGCAACTTTGTCTGCCGGTTAGATACCCGCGGCTGCACTTGCACTCGGTGTACCACGGGAAAAAGGGGCTCAGCGAGTTCACAAGAGATTATCCCGAGCAGATCGAGCCGGGGAAGAAATACGTACACCAGTACGACAGCCAAGTGTCGTTTCTCCGCGCCGATGAGATCACGGCGTATGTCATCCCCTGGCTGCGCGCTATGCAGAAGGTCCTCGACAACAAAATAGACAAAAATATAAACATTCGACCAGAAAACCTGCCCATCATCACCCCGCCAGATAGTCTCCTGGAGAAAATCCACCTTTATAATGCGAGTCTGCACCTGGGCCTGCCGTCTTTCGTCCAGAAGCCCCTGACCACCGCCCTAATCGCGCAAATGCACAAAACGAAGCTCCGAGCATGCCACCTTGAAACACTGGAAATCACGATAGCGCGCTTCTACGCGCGTGGCATCCCAGCCCTAGACCCCGTGCTCGCTGCTTTCATCGCCGCGTACGCCGCGCGTCCAGCATCCGACCGCGCGAACCCCGAATCCGCAGAGGCAGAGCGTAAGCGAGGGTTAATCCCGCGTCATAAGCATAAAAGCGGGTATTACTATTACCCTGCGGGGTTGAAACGCGAGTTGCTTACGTATACGTCGTTTGAGCCTGGGAGGGCGGATTGGCCGGGGGATACGGCGCTGGTGCCGCCTGAGCTTGCGGTGCTGGGGGGCGCGGTTAGGCGGTGGGCGGGGGTGAGGAGGGATGGTGGGGTGGTTAGGGGGCGGGTGCGAGATTTGTTTGGTGGGATGGGTTTGTTGGGGGGTGGTGGTGGTGGTGGTGATGATGGGGGGAGTGCTTCTGAGGAAACGAGTATGGCGCTGGTGGATGGAGATGGAGAGAATGAGGAGTTGTAGGGAGGTGGGGCTGAGGATTAAGTATGTCGTTGCATTCACCATTCATGTGCGCAATATAAACATGACCATGAGACCAAACGTGTTGCCTCATTCTATCGCCAGGACTTCTCTGGTCAATCGCCCACTATTTATGAGATGCACATTCTATCCATCCATAACATTGTGTATGTAGCACTCGCCGACGATATTGATCTTGCTCGTGCCGGCCGGCGTGAGAACGGATGGTATAGTCACTCTCAAAATTATACAGTATGGATCGCTTATCCGTGTCGCCGAAGAGTCGAGTCCATCTTCTGTAGAAATCATGCGTCGAGCGTGGCAATGCTGAAGAAATTCACGTCAGTACGCTTCATTCACTTGTAGTTCAACACCACTTGAGTTTGGTCATATTGAGCGAACAAGCCTTTGAAATGCTGCAAGATCCTCTCGATGTATCTTCAAATCAATCAATTCAAAGCTCTTCTTTCAGAGTGTCATCTGACTAAGGTCATGGAGAAGCCAGCTTATAGAATCGAGCTGTATTGATAATTTGATCTCCCCACCAGATATTTCACTCCCTTCACAAACACCATTTATTGCACAACCCAAACACAATTAAACAATAGGTTTGTATAGAACTTACAAACATGCGTTCATCCCTTAGTATCAACGCGAACTTAGTGGGTGTTTTAAGAGGTACTGATTCCCAAGGTAGCTTGCGTCCGCCTTCATGCATGTAGTGCCTATCGAGAATGAGTCGGAAACAATGCGTTCTCTACTCTTGCGGTTAGGAGGGTTCAGGGGCTCGTCCAGTCGCTCGCGTGGATGTTCTCTTTTGGCCGTTGGTTTCTAGCACTTTCTGTGCTGGTGAAGTCTGTCAGCTGCGCTACTTCCTCCGCTAGATTTCGCCTTTCCTTTTTCGACGTCATTGCGGTGTAGCAGCATTCAGTATTCCAAGTGGGTCTGAAAGATCTGCCTTGTAGCAGATAGCAATCACGAAATAGGATTCTACAATTAGATTGCATGATCAAAGAAAGTAACATACATCCAATTTCGGCATCAATGGAAGTGGCAAACCATAAACGGCGAATTATGTTAGTCACCAAACGTTTTTGATAGGAACACTTTGAGGATAAGAGCCAATGACACATTGTGGAATAGTATTCAAAGATTCTCCAGAACGTCGAGGAAGCTATAAGAGATATACTCATCTAACTCGGGGTACCGCGGCGTAAGACGGACGGTTTGAAGTGCTTCTGGTACCGCTCGAAGTCAAATTCTCTTTCCTCCAAGTCTTGACTGTTGACATCACCAGCCCAACAGAACGTACGACAGCTGGAGAGAGATTTTCCATCTTCCAGCACAACGTTGCATTCGCACCATGTGTATGCTAATGTTTCATAGTCGGCGAGCCGCCGGAAGTGAGCTTCTGAAGTGAGCTCCCACACAGTTCCTTTAACCTCTCCGGTACTGCATGGTACCAGGGCAGGATAGGTGCCCCACATTCTGATCGAGAAGCCGGTGATAGTGCCCTTTTTAACTAAGGGCGCTTCAGGCAACCCGGTTATGGCTTGAAGGACATCAGGATCCATGAGAGAACCATAGAAGAACATATGGCAAGGGACTAAAGGTGGTGCGCGATGCTCAGTCTTCTCTTCAGCAAGGAACATCATTATCCGTTTCGCCATGTCTTTGCCGACGGGCTCGTAGCCGAAACTCGAAGGCAGTCCAAGCGGTGGCGGAATAGTACATGATATTTTTGGGTTCTTGGGACGTGAAGCAGGTGGAAGCGGTGGAGGTGGAGGAATTGTGGATTGTGGCACAGCGGGATTTGGAGTTGAGGCTGTGTGCACGTGATTCCATGAAGCACCATGGCCAAGAGCACTGTTATGGTCGTGGTTGGAAGAGCTGTGGGGCATAATAGAAATAGTAGGTAGATAAGCATGTACGGTTTGACGAGTGACAAGAAGAGGAAGATCGGAAGTCTAGGACGATGAACACAGTTATTGAGATAAGCCTGCGAACTTGAGCGCTTATTGCGGCGAAGCTCTTACATAGTGGAGCCACGCATTGACTTTTGCTGACGGCGCAGGTCCCCAGTTTCGGTTCTGAGTATGCTCAATAAACTTTACATCCGTCTGATATCTGCTGTATAATCTATTGGCGGTATTACTGTCTGCGCGACCGGTTCACTTACATCATATCAGTATCATCAGATTCACCAAAACTATGCATATACTGACACCGCTGCCTAGCCTCAGAGAAAGAACATGTCGCAAGTACCTTCTGTGCCCCATTGTTGGAATGGTTCACAAACTTCATCAAACAAATGCTTTACGATGTAATGAATCTACGAACAATCATGTAGTTCGATCGCCAAAGCTGTCAAACCAAGGCTTGAACTCAGACTTGATGTCGAAACTATCCCTTGAGTCGAGATCTGGATGTTTTATCCCGTCCGCAAGTTGCGTTTGATTTGGGCCTTATTATTCAACCTCAGAGACTAAGATGAACTACAAACCTTACTTTGCGCATGGTCGAATGCAAGGCTCTCGTAGCGACATAGATGGCTGCCATAGCACAATTGCTGTCTTACTCACCACATGCATCATGCGAGTGGCTTGGGTATTATCATATGGAGCTTGAGAACATATCCGCTTACACCGAGGTGCAGTCTTTCATGCCAGTTCGCCCGTCATGAGCAATGGCAATACTTTTAACCTCAGCCTAGTACTCAATGAGTTGTACTGTGTCAGTAGAATTATGGTCAACAAGCCAATATCAAAAGGTTTTGTCAGATCTGGTATCAACGAGCCCTTGTACGTAGTTGTTAACACCGATGTATTGGGGATGATCTGCCGTGGCACCTCGTATAGTGCTTTGCTAACGTGTGCGTGGAAATCTGGCAGGTGTTGAGGTTGAACGCGGAAAAAGCCTCGGATGCACGTGAAGATTGTAGGGTTAAGGAATGAAGAGTTTTTCCCAAGCTGCGCCGGTTCGGAGGTCATACCACAATCTTGTATCTAGCAGATTCTAAAGGTTCCCGGTGAGGCGGCAAAAGTCCGTGGTGCCAATTTCTTGCTTACCATCCTTCTCATTCCTTCATGCGGGTGTTAGTCACCCAAGCTGATGTGAGGATCGAATTTCTGTTCCGCAAGCGTAATAATCTGGAAATAAACGTAGGTAGCCTATTGCCACACTAAACACATTCTCAATATTTCAAAATCGAACAGAGTTAACAAGACCCAAACAGACAAGGGTGTGATGGATTTTAACGAAGGCCGTACGCTGAAGCAGGCAAAGAACAGACACCTGAAAGGTCACCTATATTAGCACGTACCAAGAAGAACACAATACACTACTTGGGAACACTGTCTGTAACTAAACAGCCTATTCTGATGACCTGATGTGAATAATCCTTTGGTACAACATTATTGGTTGATGTCGCAATTCCTTCACGGACTAAAGTAAGGGTATCTTATTATAGATCGAAGGAAAGTTTGAGAGCTTGGAGGTATTGACCAAACAAGGTCGACGAGGGTATCCGATCGACAGAGGTAGCATTGTTGCCCGCCAACAACCCCTCGACAAGACCTTTACAGCTTTGAGATAACCATAAACTCCTGGTACGCTGATCCTTCCACTTATATGCTTCACACCGACGCTCGAGCAAGGGATGTATACCGATTTTCCTCGGAGCTTTCTCAATAAGTACTAAACCTATCGTATCCCCACTTCCACATTGCTTTCTTTCCCCGCATTTGACCTTGGCGCAAAGGAGTTCGGTTGATCTTCCGATAATCCCAGGGGCTTCCCGCCTCGGTTCCCGGAGCTTGGTCTGCTTTCGAACTTTTTATAGTACCACACCTGAACTGCCTTCACCAAATCCAGGTCACAAGCTACTCAGTTCCGGAAACGCTTTCTTGTAGTAAGCTTCACAGATTGCAAGCAATATGCAAATGTGTATCTAACCTTGCCAATATCTTGCATTATGCTAGTTTATCTCAATGTATGTTCATGGTTGGAAATGTATTTAGTTGAGCTTTTAGCCATGTCCAACAGAGTATCAGCATCACACTCAATCGACACTAATCCGAGCCATCATGAAAGCCGTCACCATCTCTCTTGCTGCTTTAGTGGTGCCTCTCGCCTTCTCTCTGCCTACAGAATTGACTGTGCGACAAACCCAGCCCAGGGTTCAGAGTACGTAAACTTCTCCCTCCGGTTACGAATGATATCTGACCTAATCAGTTAATTCTGCTTTCTACGCAACCTTGCGACGATACACCGAATTCTCAGTAGCATCTTTAGCAACTTTCACTTTCAACCTAGGCAAATGCCCTAGCCCACCCTCCGGATCATCACTCGTGCGCACGATCGTCAACTCCGCAACTGACACTCAAGTCGCCATCTTTCAGGACGATGCGAGCCGAGAATTCATTGTCTCCTTCTCAGGCACATGGTCGGTTCAGGACTTCCTGACGGACTTCAGCTTCGTTTCCATTCCGCAGGGTACAGCGCAGGGCTGCACAGGTTGCAAAGCACACGCCGGATTTTATGTTGCGTGGCGTTCCGTTGCGGACAATGTTACCACCGCTCTCTCCGAACTGCGTACCCAGAAACCAGGCTACTCGACCACAATCACGGGTCACAGTTTGGGAGGTGCTCTCGCCAGTCTCGCCTACACAGATCTAAAAGCCGCTGGCGTGCCTCTCAACATTGCATACACCTTCGGTTCCCCTCGTGTCGGCAACCCAGCATACGCCGACTTCACTGACAAGTTGTCCGGAGCAAGCAATACGCAGTTGGGAACCCTGATCCGCGTTACGCATAATACCGATGGCGTTCCGGGCTTGCCTTCGAATGCTATGGGCTTCCAACACACGCGCACTGAAATTTACGAACTGGACGACGCTAGTGGGAATCAAACGCCGGAAACAACATTCCGCTGCTTTGGACAGGAGGCTGCTGATTGCAACAAAGGCACTGCAATGGGATTCATCAACCTGGACCATCTTGAGTATACCAATGTTGACATGACGAACCTGAGTGAGGATCAGTGCAAGTAGAGATACTCACATATATGTATCAAAGCACACACTTGAGCGTAGACTGTTGGGGAAGAGTTTCAGGTTTGAAGATATAGTAGTCAATTCAATTACAAACAACCTGAGTAAGGCATACTAAGCCAGTTTACTCACAATCAACCCTTACAATGACCCGTTTTCTTCGCCTGTCATCTACATTCTCCGTTCTTCCATCGTTTTGATATCTCCGAGAATATTTTTCCAGCACCATTGATTTTTGGTGTTCTGGTTGATCCAGTGAGCTATGGGTAATATTCGATCGCCTCTAACTCTCCTCATCAATTCTACCTTCGAACACCTTGGTGATAATGCGAACATTTACTCCCACCGTTGAAAAACATGAGGGAGTATTTGATCTGGTCAAGAACGCCTCACATGTTGGTTTTCTTCATGACTTGATCTGTAAGGAGCTTCCCTTCAGGCCTGTCTCAGTCAACAAACTTGCATTGGCTTACACAATTCTTTGGAAGTGCACGGCGCCTTAGCTTTGTCGGCGAACAAAGGCAATTGAAGCCGTTATGAGTTTCTGTCCTATGCAATAATTTAGCCTATTTGATCAGTTTTGTACAAACATTGTACGAGAACGCGATGTTAGCGCGAGTGAAAACCCGAATGATGTCATATATATGACGAGCCCACTACTCAACCTCGACTACAACATATGCTGTGATTACACCACTGGTGGTAGAGTAGTAGATCATGTAACGAGACCTATCACGTACCGAGAGTCGTTAGCCGAGGTAAAATCAACAGAACGCGCACGCCCACAAGTTCAAAACAACGCTCTAAAATTCAATTCTGAGATGCCTATTTTGGAGCCCAGTCTATATAAAAAGCATCCTGCGCAAGAGCGGGCTCGAAAACGTAGTTGTGGAGCTTCCACGCGCCGCCCCTGCCGCCGCCACAGGCGGTACTGTGACCGTCCCAAGTCATCCCAACACAACGCGGGCTTACTCCTTGGTAGTTTACTCGAAATACGTGGCAAAACGCGGCGTGTAGTTGCCCAGCTTCAGCTGGATTAATGATAGCAAACTCAGTTTGAGCCAGCTCTACTTCTGGCATATAAACCCCATCTTCGTAGGCTTTCTTGGCGCTTAAAGCTGCTGCCAAGGCTCTCTTTGAGGCCTCCTCAGCTTCGATTCTGATCGCGTCAGACTCTCCAAGGAGTCGCCCGGTGGCTTGAAGGCGCTTATTAGTTGCCTTGTCTACCTTGTATAGCTCATACTTTTGTAGCTCAGTTGTAGCAATCGTGAGCTTCGCGTCAATTGTAGCAAAAGCCTTTGTGAGCTTGGAGAGGCGCCGAGCAGCTGGAGTAGACTGTAGCGCAGTGTAGAGAAGCTCAAACTGCATGAATTTCAGTTCGGCTGGCTTTGTGGGCGTCCACGGCCATCCTGGCTGCTTATCCAAGGCGACGTCGCGCTCAGCGTCGTGGTGTTGAGCAGCGACTCGGGCATGGTTTTGGGCTCGATCGATGCCCGCGCGCGCGCTCTTCTCGGTGGCGACAGCGTCGAAACGCAGCTTTGCTGGACGCGCTGATAGAGGCCAAAGTCCTGCAGCCTTCCAGGCGCTCTTAATGTTAGCTGTAGTAAAGGCCTTGGAGCGCGCGATAGAGTAGTAATACAGAAACAGCTGTTTATCAACCCCCACTACGTTACCCCACCTCACCGCGTCGGAGATGGCTGTTGAGTAGTAGCGCTGCAGAGGAGAGAACAAACCAACATCTAGAGGCTGAAAAAAGTGTGTACAATGAGGCGGGAAGGCGATGAGCACAATCTGGTGATCGAGGCAGTATCTCAGGAACTTTGCGGTGACGTGGGAGCCGTGGTTGTCAATAAACAGTATGCGATAAACTGGAGTTTTATCAGCTGCCGCAGCTGGTGTTGCAACACCATGAGGGCGGCTCTCACGCTCGAAAATCTTCAGCCAGGCAAGCCCAAGATCATTATCAGTCCATCCTTTAGATGATGTAGCGTACGTCCACCGCTCGCGCTCGCCATCAGTACCGAGCCAGTTCTGCTGATGGTAAGCAGCTTTGAACACCAGGAGGGGCGCGATAGAGCCGCCAGCAGCGTTGATACACTCAATAGCTGTGGCTAACTCCCTTGAGCCTGGCTGTTGTATGAAGGCTTTGCGCCGGTCGCGATAGGATCGCAGCGCTGGTATGATGACGCGAGCTGCCTGCGCCTGGCCGAGCAGCACGCCTTTCTCGTCCATGTTCCACATGTTCTCCGGGAGAACGTTATAGCTGGTGATAACCTTGCGGGTGAGGTTGATAAACGCTTCGAGCGTCTCTGTGTCGTGGTTATAGGCGCGAGAACGATCGAGTTTTGGCGCAACGATAGAGGATAGAGGTGAGCGTTTGATGAAGCGCCGCACCCAGCAGAGGCCTAGTTTACGGCCAGCAAGGGCTTCTGCGAGCTCCTTGACGTGATAGTGCTTCATCGGGAGGCCCCATTGGGCGCAATTGGTGATAGATTTTATGAGCTCAAGCTCCTGTTCTGGCGTAAGAGCGCTCTGCTTGTGGCGGGCTGTTCTGGCTGATGGGCGGCCATTCAATCGGTGTAGTGTAGTTGTATATACAGCGCCAACAGCGCCACACGCGCCTCTAACGGTAGGAATATAGCCATCGTCAAAGAGGCGGATGGCCTCCTTGATTAGAGCCTCAGCGTCTGATTTGTGATTTATCGCGTTGTTGTAGGCGGGTTGTGGGTGGAGAGGCGTTATGCGACGGTTGTCCATAGTAACCTATCCCAAGTTTGCGCGACGAGTAAGTCACAACCACAACACAGAAAAAATATATACAATAAATTCACAGATTGTGCAGAATATGATGCTCTACAAGATAGTCTATTCAGAAATCTAATGTCACGTTGTGGTGTTGAGATGCAGCGCGTTGAAAAATGGTGGTTGGGGTGGTTGGGGACTCTCGGTACGTGATAGGTCTCGTTACATGATCTACTACTCTACAAAGACAGAGTGTTACTAAGAGACGCGATGACAAGCCATATATGAAACGCTAGTCAAGTATTTCTCTGACTCGTAATCTGTCGATCTTCTTCACTTCAGATGGTTCTAGATTCGATCGGTCAATCGTTACAGAAGCCAGGCCAGGGTAAATCGTCTCGAAAAGTACACAATGGGCGATCGGCATGGATTGCTATATATCAATCCCAATCATGACGCCTTGTCATATCAGGTGCGTAGACGGTATCATCGCGCGCATATGCATACAAAGCCAAGTGCAGGATCCTAGCCAACTGTCTAATCATGTTCTTTTTGCCACTGAGCATTCAGTCCTCAGAGGTATTTTGTGAGTCGGTATTTGGGCTGGAGAGAAAGCTAGAAGTGTTACGTGTGCGTGCATGGGCACCATGTCTAGCTTGAGAAATAAGCTCAATGTCAAAACGCCGATATTGTCCTCGCAATATACGCGGACGCCACACCAACGTTTCCCCGGGTTCTCCCCGCACTCGGGTTTCTGATTGTTCTTGATACTATTGGCGGAATCCCAACTTTCCTTCTCTTTTACAATGTAAAGCATAATTATCTTGTCACTTGATTAGTTGCTGCACTACAACGTACACCCTCAGCACGAACTTAGAGTACTTCCAGCTACCTCTACCATTCCTTTTGTGCACAGGGTTACAGTCCATTGGAGGACATGGGGACGCCCCCTTCATTTACATGGTGGAGGAATTTTGCGTTCCGGATGATTTGGACGCGTAGTCTGCGGACGAAGTGGCTTATAATAATTTCACGTCAAATGCTATAAAGACGCCATATGCTAAGCATTCTGGCCAAGCAGCCAAGCAGCCAAGCACCTCTCTACCAACAACAAGCATCAATCACCATGGTCGCCCTATCTCTTGGTCTGTTGATCACATCCCTTGTGGTGTCTGCCACTGCAGCACCCGCACCCGAGATTACTGCTGCACCCAAACCCGAGGTCGTCAAACGTGCTACCAGTTGTACCTTTTCCGGCTCTGCTGGCGCTGCATCTGCCAGCAAGTCTCAGACGGCATGCTCTACGATCGTTCTTTCCAGCATCGCTGTGCCTTCCGGCACCACACTGGACCTTTCTGACCTTGCGGACGGTACGACAGTCATTTTCCAAGGCACCACTACCTGGGGCTACTCAGAATGGGCCGGCCCCTTGCTCTCAATCGGCGGCAACAAGATCACGGTTTCAGGTGCTTCTGGAGCTGTACTCAACGCTGATGGAGCGCGTTGGTGGGACGGAGAAGGCAGCAATGGCGGCAAGACCAAGCCGAAGTTCTTCGCTGCGCACTCTCTTACCAGCTCGACTATCACCAACTTGAGCATTAAGAATACCCCTGTTCAGGCTGTCAGTATCGCTAGCTGCGATGGTCTCACCATCACGGATATGACGATCGATAGCTCGGATGGTGACACTGATTCCCTTGGTCACAACACTGACGGCTTCGATATCGGAACGAGCTCAAACGTGGTCATTAATGGAGCGAAAGTGTACAACCAGGATGACTGTGTAGCCATCAACTCAGGAACTGTAAGTCGCGTATTACTTGGAAACCCTACAACGCTGATAGCTGACCTACTCGCTAGAGCATCACATTCGAGAACGGATTGTGCTCGGGAGGCCATGGATTGTCCATTGGATCGGTCGGTGGTCGCACAAGCAACACGGTAGATACTGTGACATTCTACAACAACCAAGTCACCAAATCCGTCAATGGTATTCGCGTCAAGGCCTCAGTAGGCGATACTGGCACCATCAACAAAGTGACTTACAACAAGATCACTCTGTCTTCCATCTCCAAGTAAGTCACTTCCCTAGACATCATGCCTTGACTTTTGAAGAGAGATGCTTATCCCGTGGCAGGTACGGTATTCTCATCGAGCAGAACTACGACGGAGGTGACCTGAAGGGAACCGCGGGAACTGGTATCCCCATCACTGCCTTGACGATCGAGAACATCTCCGGATCTGGTGCCGTAGCAAGCACTGGTTACGATGTTGTTGTCACCTGTGGTAGCAGCACCTCGTGCACTGGCTGGACCTGGAGCAGTGTAGTTGTTACCGGCGGAAAGACTTATGGCAGCTGCACCAACGTTCCGAGTGTTACCAAGTGCTCTTAGAGATCGAGATTGGTACTTCATTCTGAAGTATACAACTCGAAGGTTATCAACTGGTCAATCGCATGCGGCATGGTGTTATTCTCTCTTTATGCTAGGTGTTTCTAGCTTCTTGTACATAGGAAAGTCTTGAATTCGGCAATATTATAACAAGGTTATTGAGCCTCTCAATTTTGTGTTTTATGAGAAAAGTATTTGTTGTCATTCACACTCTGTAAATGTTCATCTGTATCATTCTTTTTTCTTCTCAGCTCCAAAACTCTGTAGCTTTAATTCAAGACTTTGCCACTTTTCAAGCAGCTGACGGAAGCTACTACCGTTCTGAAAAATTAACAGTGAGAATCGCAATTTTAGTGGCAGATGACTCCGTAAAATCAGTGAATTCAACATTAACACTTTTAACCAGGTCTCTCATTATCAATCCTAGTTTTTGGTCGAGAAGTTGAAGATTTGCAAGACAGACAACAATGGACTTGCTGCAGCAAATTTGATACAATGATCGTCCCCTGAAGAAGAAAAGAAGCTAAGCTGGCGGGCCGGGCACAGTACTAAAGGAAGCGGTCACTATCTTTGCAAGGGCACTTCATGCGGTGACTCCGGACGAGGGGACAATGAGCTGAATCCTCTAATGGTTAGGATACTGAGCTGGTTATCAATCAAGAAGCAGCCCGCTGAATCAGTGATCAATTTGTGAATCACGTGCCGATGACATGCCAATCGGTGCGTGATCTGGGGAACCAATACAACTATCTAGAGAGAAAAGTGATATAGTAATAAAGATCTCATTGAAGGCAGTATAGGTCAGAATAAAAATCAAAAGTACTGGAAATCATGGAAAACAGTGGATATACCAATTCAACATGAAGTTGTTTGATTGGGGCTGCGAAAAAGAAGGATTCAAGACACTAAATAGCAAGTTGCTCAATCGTCGATGGGACACACGAGTTGCGACTTGAAGAGTAGAGGTAGTACCTCGAGCCGACTATGAGAACCGTGCCTCCCCATAGGCATTGCGGTCTGGGCATGGCGTGATGGATGAACAAAAACTTTCCCGAACAAGTAGGTATAGATATCGTGTTCCGAAGTATATCCCACATCGAGAGATCCTGAGCAATTCCCAGCATTGTTACAGAGATGAAGCTAAACCTACCCCCGGCTAGGGAGATTTTCATAAATTAGGCCAACGAAGAGTGGTCAAGACGCACCGCTAACATAGGAAATATAAAAGATCAGAAGAAACAGAAAGAGAGGTTTTCCTCCTGCATAACAACTGATTGTTGTAACATGATCAAATTTTCCTGTTCTTCCGTCGAAGTTTACTCACAACACAGAGCTGTTCGTGTTCTCTCACATGAGTGGTCAGATGTGTGGGGAAATGTGACAGGGTTCCCAACAAAATTGTTTCTTATCGGATCAATTGATAGTGCATGTACCTAAGCATGCAGTCAGCAGTTTATTTCCAACTTGCTCCGCAGTGCGCGGTCACCACGTTCGCAGGATGGCTTTGGAAGAAGAGCAGGTTCAACAAAACGTCACGAAAATCCGTCTTTTTCTGTCTATTCCAACGCTTTTTTAGTATCTTCGGGTCTAGTGAGGATTCAGGTCATCGTGTCTAAAACCATACTCGGCAGACAACAGAGCTGAAGACAGTCAAAAGGCAAAGAGGCGGAGCAAGCTTGGCCCCGTTATCAAAATACATGCACATGCTTGATGAGTTATCCGGAGCTTGCTTTCATCCCAGTTGCGGCGTAGCAGACAATGTCTGCAGACCGTATGGAGCGTAGGTAGCGCATCCCTCGTGCATGAGCAGGGTACGCACGAGTACGCCAAGTCGGAATTGGATACTGAGTTCATATCCTGCCTCGAACGTTACCGGGCGCTTCATCAGCCTACTTTCCATTCTACTCACTAGCTATGAGCTCTTAGTAGAAGATGTAATGAACTTGACTTTTCGTAAAGTCTAACGCTGAAACCAGACTATTATATAGGTAGCTAAGGCGCAAGATTTGGCGCTGAAGACATTCCTCTCGGCTCAAGTATCGATATGGAATAGTGGCGGGTGCACGGGCAGTGCGCTGTGCAGCACGGTAGGCTAAACTCAGATAGCCTACCCAGGCTCGTTGTTGTACTTATCCAAGTACGGAACTACGCTTAGTGCATGGTCTTGTATATAGACAGCGATCTCCGCCATAAAATGCTCTACTTCTACTTTCAATTACTGTCCTACCCTATCTAACCCCGTGGGACATCATTTGGCTCGTTCCTATTCAGGATGTTGTCGTGTCTCTTCCTGATCCCGGTTGTCATCGGCTACCTCGTTGTCGTGCGAAGCCTCAGATATCGTCGCGTGGAGCAGATCCAGAAGCAGCATGGATCTACACCAGGGGAATTCAAGAATCTGAACTATAGAGATGCTCAAGCTATCATCGGTCAGTTAGGCCTCTATGAGTGCCCGTGGACATTCCTCGCTGGCAAAGATTTCGCTTTTCTCAGAGTAAGCACGCTCCCAACCTCTTGCTTCACTTTTTCACATCGAGCTAACATCACAGGCCTTCGCGATTCCTGGCATCTCAAAGGTCTCGGTGGGAGCAAAAGAGATGGTCGACCGTGTCGGGAAACGCTACGCAGACACCACCGTTCTAGTCGGCGAGTTTCTCGTCAACGACATTGACAGCGAGCGAGCTTGCGTCGCCATAAATCGCATGAACTGGATTCACTCCCGCTATGGCAACAAGATTCAAATGGATCAGATGGTCTACACCCTCTGCCTACTCACCTGCGAAGCTCTACAGTGGATCGACAAGTACGACTGGCGGCAGACGGTCGCGCTCGAGAAGCATGCTTCTTGGGTATTTTGGTACGAGGTTGGCCGTCGTATGGGTCTCGAGGATGTGCCCCAGAGCTTCGACGCATGTGCTACCTTCATTGAGGACTTTGAATCACGCAATATGGCCCCGTCACAGGATAATGCCCTCATCGCCAAGGGTGTTTTCTCTCTCTACGCGTCTACTCTCCCAGCTTTCCTCACTCCTGTTGTGCACGCCGTCTTGAAAGCATTTATGGATGCGCGGCTCAGCGACGCATTTAAGCTGCCAGTACATTCCACCCCCTTCATACAATCGTTTCTATCCTTCATGTTGCTCGTGCGCAAGTATTTTGTCCGTCACTTGATGCTGCCGCGATACTCTACATTGCAGGTCTTTGGCGAGGAGAATGCAGCCGGGTACCGTCCCATGATGTTTTGGGAAATCGAGCCATGGTATGTCGCCTCGTCGAAGAACAGTAGTTGGCTCTACTCGGCCTACACCCGTTTTTTCGGTTTGCCCATGGCCGGCGACTCAAAGTTCAGGCCGGAAGGTTATAAGCTTCAGGAGATTGGCCCAAAACATCTCGAAGGCAAGGGTGGCGAGCAAGTCATGTCTTTCGTCAAAGAAAACGAGGCTCGATCTTTCACCACATTTGGTCAATTTTCAAACACGTTCTACACAAGAGGTGGATGCCCAATGGGCTTCGCGGAAGTATCCGAAAAAGGAGGATGCCCTGCAGGATTTGTTAAGTTGTGATGAGCGTCCGGTGTTTGTCTAGCAAGTAGACCTTGTACGTGTAGTCTCCACATCCTGATCTCCAGGCTGTCTATGAACACTGTGTGTCCGTCCAGCCAAAGCGTCAGGGTGTAATGGGAAATAACCGGACTAAGACAACACCATGGTTTAGTACCTGAGCAAGACATCCTATTCAGCTTCTCCATGCCCGTGATACTTACGCCCGTGGTTTTTTATTTTCAGCCATATTGACCTGACTGTGCCGAGGAAGCTCGACGGCTCGTTTTCAATGCTTGGAAATGGTTCTCCACAACTGCGTTGGAACTTTCTCATCAGTTTGATGTAATCTATTGAAGTAGCTGTGTGAGGAATAGCCTAACAGGCTGGATATATTTTGGGCTAAATGTCGATTCGAGTAGCTCAGAATTGTGTACTGTCCAAGCTTTTGTTTGAATTGTAGTATGTTTGTGTGATCAAAAACAAATAAGGTTATTTTCTGCATAATTCAAAGGCATGAACCCAATACGAATCCGACAACAAAAACCTACAATAATGATGGGCTTCACGAATGGCTGCCAGCCTTTACGCGACTAGGTTCAATGCGACCAATGTCTAACCTCCTCGCCACCGTCCCACATTGTCGACAAATACTCTCCATCTCTACTCCAAGCTTTCACAGAGTTGATCTCACGTAATTCAGCGCGAACTTTTTATTTGACGTGAAAGATTGGTAGATTTGACAACTGCTAACAAAGTAAACTATCTACAAGAATGCTGTCCTGGATTTTGCACATGACGAGTGCTCAGTTGGCGCCCTGGTTCAACTTAAGCCAAGCGACAAACTGCTTGATTGTGAATTTTTCGGGTAGAACGGCGTCAGAGCCTGAGTCGGAGCCAGCTCCGGCGGAGGCGGTGGGAGATGCGGTGGAAGATGCAGTGGAGGAGGCAGCAGGGATGAAAGATGTAACAAGAGTGGAAGAGGCGACAGGGGTGACGGAGGCGATGGAGGCAGAAGAGGTGACGGCAGTGGACGATGCAACTGGGGTCTCAACGACTGCAGCAGTCGAGGACGCCACAGGTGTCTCGACTACAACTGCAACTGTGGAGGAAGCGACAGCGACAGCAGTAGAAGAAGTGGCGACAACAGTGGAAGATGCAGCTACAACAGTTGAAGATGCAGCGGCAGCAGTTGAAGAGGCAGCGGCAGCAGTTGAAGAGGCAGCAGGCTCCTCTGCGTCACCAGAGCCTCCAGAGCTATTGACCGACGTTGTGAGCTCGCCGCTCTCAACATACACGCCGCTGAAGAACCAATCCTCAGCCCCCGTTCCATCGTTACTTCCAGGCAGACGGAGGACACCAAGATGCCAGTCAGCACCATTGGACGAAGTGCTCGCGGTGAAAGGACCAGCAGTCTTTGTCAAGGGGCTGCTGCCGGTCGAGTGCCAGAAAGTGACTGAGCCTGCGTCGAAGTCGATCTCGTACGCAACGTTGTGCCATTCATCTGCAACCAATTCAACGTCCCATTTGGATACACCACCCACATGCCACTGCAGGTTAGTGTTGCTGGAGCCTTGTCCGCCGTACTTCAGCTCAGTGAAGTGGCTCTCGAAGAAGGCGATCTGATGCTCGTTGGTCGAAGTTGGGACATTGTCGGCAGAGGTCTTGATCGAGAAGTGGTAGTAAACTTTGCCCTTGTTGATGGCGGCGGTGGTTTGAGGGATAAGCTCAGTCCTCAACATGGTCTGGCCATTCCACTTGGCGGTCTCATCAATGGTGATCTTGACACCCTGCTTTGAGCCAGTATCGGCGGGATTCTTGTACGAAGTATCAAGGTTGACGTATTTGTCAACCGCGCCTGAGCCGTGAATGTAGTACTGATAGGCGCCGACTGGGTTGGAGAATGACCACTTTTCGAGGTCCGCACTCGAGGTCATGTCGTTGAACCTTCCATCCCAAACTATCGTGCCTGTCATGTTCATCAATATCAACAGACACCCGCTCTACAAAAAAAGACTCACCAGCAGACACGGCGCTGACGAGCGCACTCAAGATAGCAACTTTTCCAAACATTTTGAATTGAAGACGGACAGAGACCAGCTGCACGAAAAAAGTGAATATGAACTACGAAGTGAAAAATGAAGGACAGTAGTGGGATGCATGAGACAAAAAGGCCCAAGGCGCAATATAAAGTACCATCCAAATGAAAGTCTCACCGTCCCAGCTTAGCCCGAACCTCACGTCGGCTGAGATGGATCCGCTAGCTCAACCCTGCACCTCAATATTCAAGAACTGAAACATCGATGGCAGGGTCGTTCAATACGGCGTAGACCTGTATTGAGTGACTTGCTCTTGGCTGGTGTCAAGTAGCCGCCGGCGCTGCATGGACGAGCATCTTCTCAGTGCCGGCTGAACGGTCCAGGTCAGTTCTGAGCAACGTGCCCAGTGCTAGACCCCAGTTCTTCTTAATGTGGCTGCAGACACAAGCCGTAGTGACAGAAAGCCAAATGGCATGACAGCGGTTAGACGGATGGAAACGTTTCGGTTTTTGGAGCTAAGCTATATCAATCGAAAACGCGTCCCACAATTTGCTTGTTTGAGATTAGCGCATCAGGCTCGGAATCAAAGGATTCACGAACCGGTCCCTGCTCATAACGGTTTGTTTCATCACGGAAGATGAAGGCGGAGATTAGCTGTCATTGTATTCAGGCACGCTGCACGTTGGCAGTTTTCATGTCCAAGAATGATGTGGAGGCATCTGATGGAGAAGAAGGGGAGGTGCACAAAGATATAACTGTGGGCAGGGTAGAAAAGTACCCAGTAGCCAGGACAGAGCTGCAATGGCGTTGCGGCACGTTGAAGGGTGAGCGACTCGCTCGTGATGAACGTTGCCTTGCAGCTCTCATAAAGTGAACACTTGGGGCAACTTTACTAAAAGTCATATGATGAAATAATAAGGTGTACGGTTTGAACATACATAGTACCTACTCTAGGCCCACCATCTCGAAGTCCAAGTCAGTGCAGCTCAACAAAGCCTCGCCATTCATAACGCCATGAACGTACGTGCCACCAACAAGGCAGTATCGCCCACTGCCTTTAATAGGACGAAGGATAATAGGTACACGGCATCCAGGAACAATCCAGACAGAGTCCCCTACGTCAAGGCATTTTGAACCAATCCCAAAGTAACCTTGCCGTGTACGGAAAGGGCGTTGCCGCATCGCGTGAGAATAGGAAAGATTGAAAAGGGAAGCTTGGTGCGCAAGAAAAGCAAGGTATACAGGATCAACTTTGCTCCTATTGCGCCCTTTGTCAATTTCTGCCTGACTTGGCAAGATGTCGTTGGCTGAGGACGATATTGGGAAAGTTGTAGGTTCGTTGAATGCTACAGCATATCGCCAGAGAATCCAAGCGTGGAAAGATGGCTTGAGAAGATCCGAACAGGCTGGGTACTGAGCGCTCTCTGGAGGTGAAACGTTTCCTCTATTAGTTATCAGGCTTCGCCAAACCACTTCCTCACGAGACTCTCCCATGGTGTATGTCACATCAAGGGCAGCAATCATCTGCCATATGGTTGAAGAGTGCAAACCGTGTCGAAGGTCCTCTTTCTCCTCACAGATCTGAACTACATCATCCAGTTTCTTAGCTCGTATACTGAGGCAGCGTTTGTCGCTATCAACGGAAAGGATATGCTCTTGCACAATTATTATAACATTAATACTGCAAGTAAACTATCACGCCCATTAACTTGCCCAACCTACATAATCATCTAAGTTTTCCTAAATTATACCTAAGGATTAAACATTAAAGTTGCTAAGATAACTTACAAGTCTACTAGTTAGCCACTTCTTTAGCACCCTTACTGTTTGTACGCTGTTCTATAATCTGCCAGTTACAATACTGCCCTAATCTCTATTATTGTAGTAGTTTTTAGAATTATGTCGCTTAAGAGCAGTAAACTAAGGCGACATGTAATTAAATGCGCAGGAGAAATAGCTATTATATAGAGAGTTTTAAGCCTAATCCTAATTTTTCTTTGTTACTAGGTTAGAGTCCTATATAGGTATCTTCCTATCTAAAGTGTAGTACTGCAAGACTTTTAATATGCCCTTTAAATTTACTGCCTAAAGAAAATGTACTAGTAGCTTAAGGCTACATAGCAGGCAGTAGTAACCTTAATAGTAGACCTAGTAAAAACGCTTAACCTATAACTCTTAGCAAGATATAACTTATCTTAGCACTTAATAAAACTTATATTTTATTCTTTAAAATCCTAACCTAGGATAGGTAGTACAGTATCTAGGGGTATACACTTAGAAGTATAAATGTATTAAGTCTGTATTAATGCCTAGGCTGTAGAGTAGTTATCTATTACGCTTAGTTTCTTAAGTTAGTTTTAATATATATTACAGGAAAGGTTAATCTAGCTAGACTTTTAAACAGTATAATAAGGAGCGTTGCAGTATATATTATAATATAGGTAAGAATACTAAAGGTTAGAACATAGCTCTTATTTTGTAATTATATTATTACAGGACGTTCTAATCTTTAGGATTAAACTATACTAAACATAAACAGGCTTAAATTAAGTATAACTTCTACACTAAATAGAGAACTAAAGGTAGCAAGGGTAAGCTTTCTTTTCTAATAAGATAGAATAGAATAGGTTTAATAAGATGTACCCTAGGGCCTGTATCTTATTAAGTACATCTGTAGGTATAGCGTTAGACTTATTCTAGGGTAGTAAACTAGGTATTTTAAAGCTAAGTCTTTTTTAGATAAGAATCTTAAGGATCTCTCTAAAGTAACTATTACGTACAAGGTCCTACTTTACAGAGTTATAAGTAATAATAATTTTAGATAAAGGCGCTATATTCCTTAGTAGTGTGTTAGGTAGATTAGCTAAGAGGTTAATAAAAGCTTTACGTTTAATGCAGTGTATTACTGTATTATTATACTTAGCTTTTGTATTCTTTTTATACTTAAAATTTAATTTAACAGCTGTAGTAGTAGAGGGGCTAGACGCAGAGGCAGATGTAGAGGTAGATATAGAGGCAGATATAGAAGCAGATACAGAGGCAGATATAGAGGTAGATATAGAGGTAGATATAGTAATAGCAGTAACAGCGTTACTTAAGGAGTCCTCCTTTGCATTATTAATCTATAGGATAGAGACTTAGAGTAGTACTGTTAGTTTTAATCTCTGCTTAATTTCTCTAGCTAACTTCTTAGCTTTCTTCCTTAGCTCTATATTAGTATTACTGTAACCTCTCTTGCGTTTCTAGAGGTTCCTAGGACCTAATACTTATCTAGCTGGTACACTAGGGCTACGTAATGCTTCTGCTATATTAACCTTCTACTTATTCTACTTAGGCTTACTCTCTGTATTCTTTGTATAGTCTAGTCTGTTAACATATATATAAGTATAAGGATAGCTAAGAGTAATATAGGGCATTGCCTTAATATAGTATATATTATTATAGGAGATTATACTATTATTAATTGCCTCCTTAAGCTAGTATACAAAGAATATATTAACTTTTTCTCTGTAGTTTTAATTAGATATATTAGAAAAGAAAGTTATAAGTTATACTTCTTTCTTTATCTTATAAAACGCAGAAAGCTCTTTATAATAAGCTTAGGCGTAATCTACTGCCTTACTAAGGTGTTAATAGTAATTAGGTAAGCCTTTACTATAATATAGTTTAGCTTATTCTTGTTTTTCTTTTTATTACTCTTTTACTTCTTTTTCTTATTACTTGTCTAGCTCTGTAATAAGCTTAGCTATATTAAACTATTTAATAGTAGTAGCAGTAAAGACTTCTTCTTTAGCTTCTATTTCTTTAACATTATATAAATACGCTAGTACGTAGAGCTAGATACACTATAAAACAAAAACAGGCTAAACAAAACGTATAATAACAGTGCATAACTATTATAAGATATACAACGTTATATAGGTTAGGTAAAGTCTACTAGCTTATTAGATTTCTTACGTGTTAAATAGTAGGAGTAAGTAGTAACTCTACTATAAAAACTATTGTACGCTAATTATATAATCTAACGCTAGTACAAGAGTATATTACTATTATTATATAGAATAGTAGAAGTAGGTATTCTACAGTCTAGACGTATAGTTTTAACACCTCTGCGTGCAGAGCGTTTATAACTAAGACGCTGTATTATATATATTCCCCTATTATAACCCTCCTTTACCTAATGTCTTCCCTAGGTATTACTGTGTATAAGCTAGGTGTAGCTAGAGCTGGTAGTATATATTCCTATCTATAAGTTAGTATATATAAGCCTAGTAATAGGATTAAGTAGGAAGGGTACCAGCAATATTTTATAATATTAATAGTTAGAGTTAGTTTAGTAGGAAGCCTTAGTACTGCGTTAAGGTATAACTTTATTACTAGAGAGGTAACTAATAAGGCTAAGCAGATACTATAGCTAAGCAGATGCTACCTTAGTTAGATTAATAGAGGTAAGTTAATAAAGCTAAGTGTTAATATAACTAATAGTGCTGCTTTATAATAACCCTTCTATTTAGTTTAGTAATAAAGCTAAGTGTTAACGTAACTAACAGCGCTGCTTTATCTCTATACTATAACTATACCTAACTAATATATAAGGCTTCTAGTCTCTGTAAGGAGACTAGATACTAAGTAACGCATAATAGTAGGTATACGTTATAACTAAGTAGATACGTTAACCTTTGTAATAGTTAGTAAAGAAAGAAAGGAGGTAAGCGTGCCTATAAAGGCTAATATATATTAAGAGTAGAGCTAGTAACGCTAGCTATCTCTAGTATAGCTTTTAGTAGGTTAAGTGTATTACTTCTGCCTTTAGTATACTTAAGTTCTCTTACTAACTCTAGCGCCAGACTGCTTAATATTAGGACGTAGGATAAATACTACAACGTAAACTACTTACCTAGTAGTTCTACGTACTTGCCTAGCAGTTGTACTTACTTATCTGCAGTCCTTTTCTTTTATACTAGGTATATTCCCTAAATATTACGCTGGCAACAGCACTATAGCTAAGAAGAGAAAAGCTAAGGGAAAGAAGTAGGCAGCTATACCTCTTAGTAAATAAGGGTAATAATTAGACAAGAGTAGTCTACTAACCAAGATAGAGAAGTAATCTAATCTTTAAGACGCAGAGGGGTTTAACAATACTAACATAATAAAAAAACAAAAGACGTAGCTACTACTATAGAGTAAATATCTATAGTACGAATTAATAATTAGGTAATAAATATATATAATAAAGAAATTCAAGACAGCTCTAAAACGCTCTATACTTAAGAAGTAGGCTACACTTCTTTAACCTAATAAACCGTACCTATTAAAACGACAGTAGAGGAATAACTACTAAAGGAAGAATACCCCTTTTAACGCAGACACAACCCCTAGCAAAGACAAAGATATAGACTTAAAGCAAGACAAGAAAGCGCTTATAAAGATAGTGTTCTAGAAGATAATAAAGCTTCTACTGCTATCTGTTAACTATAACCTTATCTAGTAAATAGTAGGACTAGGTAAGAAGTAGGTAATCTGTCTATAGAACTAGGTTGTAAGTAAAGATAAAGAATACTAAGTAAAGATATTTACATACCTGCAAAGGTATAATATATCCCTAGATACTAACCCTCTAGCTAATACTGTAATAGTAAACAAACTAGTAATAATAAATATAAAGTAGTCTAACAGTCCTATATTAGTAAGTAAAGGGCTTATAGGTAGTTATTAGAGGATAGTATAGGTAGTCTAGCCTAGCTAACAGAGACCCTTTTCCTCTAACATTTTAAGACATTAGATAAGTTTAATAAGAAACCTAAAAATAACTAAGAAGAAGAGAGCAGGGAGGATAAGGGGGTTAATAAGAGGGACTTAGATAACTACTAGATTAAGGAAGGAAGATTTAATAATAATAAGGTAAAGAAAATAGAGTTTAATAATAGTAAGGTAGAGAGAGTAGAGTTTAATAATAGTAAGGCAGAGAGAGGAGGACTAGATAATAAGAAGTTAGAGGAGAATAGTAGGGATAAGTTAGAGAAGGATAGTAGGGATAAGTTTAAAGAGGACAGTAGAGATAACTTTAAGATATAAAACGTAGGATCTTCTAGAGTAGTTTAACCTAGAGATACTATTAGCTATATTAAGTTATAGTTTAATTTAGGTAATAAGAGCGTATATAAGTAAGTTAATTAAGCCTTATATAATAATAATAATAATAAAGAGGAAGTAGAGATTAACTATCCTAAAGGATTTAATAATAAGGAGGAAGTTATTAAAGTATCTAAGAATATAGAGGAAATTATAAACTAGTCTAAAGATAGTAGAGAGATTATTAAAGGTAATAAGGATAGTAGAGAAGGTAAAGAAGAGAAGTAGTAGAAAGCCCTAACGCCCCTTCTCTCTAAGTCTATTATTAATAACTAAGAGGAAGTAGCGCTACCTACCTTTAAAGCTATACCTAACTATTAAGTAGAAGCTACGCGTATACCTAAGATTATTAACGTCTTTACCTGTATAACTAATAAGACTAAGGTATTAGATAGTAAGTTTAATAACAAGGCCGTAGAAACTCTACTGCGCAGGAAGGACTACTAGACCTTACTACTACTAATAAACGTCTCCTAGAGGGTCCTAGCTACGGCTACAGCCTCTACCTAGCACAAGAGTATTACGTAGCGCCTAACTAAACAAGTAATATAAATTTGTAATAACTGTATATTTAACTACTACAACCTGCTAGAGAACT